TGAAAACTTGTACACAAGCGACATTACAACATGAAGAGTATGAACTGATGAACTGGCCGCTTTGATCGATAACAATACTCTCCTCTGATGAATTTGTCAGTTTATTTTTTCTGCCCTTTTTTTTTTCCAACTTGCACTTGCTTGCATCCTCCTACCAAGTACCGACAACGACCTCCAATGGTTTCGCTTGCTGAATATCTAAAACATGGAGAGAACATAATAACGAATGAACCAATTTAATTATGTTATATGGTTTGTTGCTGAACCTTACCATTCAGGTTAATCTTGAAAATAAAATAGAAAAGAAATTTGAAAGGGGCAATGAAGGAAAGGGAAAGTCACCTTGTTGCTGCCATGACGAAGTTCTTTAGTTTGTTTTCTTCTGATCAGATTCAACGCTCAAAACCTGCAGCCACGTCCCAAATATCAACCAAAAAATGTGAAAGACAAACATATTAACATCGTTCAAAAAGTTCCCAGTTCAAGATGAAATATCAAGCCAAATACAAAGACGATGCCTTGTTCTTAGTGGTTATCCAGCAATCAGTTCTCTTATCATGCAGAGAGACTTCAGTCTTACTTTAGAGTTTGGATGCCTAAGAACACAAAAGAACATTTAAAATATAATTAACAGTTAACTGGCACATATTTACAATGACATTTGCAACTAAGCACAAAAGAAATATCATTAGAAATACTCTCCAAATACTACATTTTTATTCAATGATGGGATTATTTTGGGCAATAAAGTTTGATAAAAGTTAATTTTCATATTCCAAACCCAAAACCATAGAATCATACATTTCTTTTCTTCTGATCAGAAAAACATTCAAACTGTCTTATCTTCTAAAAGTTCCCCAGCATCAAAGTAAAGTTACGCAGGTAAAACACTACAGAATCAGCTTCAAAATCAAACATGTAACAATCCAAACAATACTTTTTAAAGTTCCCAAGATAAAAAATACCTTACATTTAGTGTGAACAATTATTTTTAGTGTTAACAATTGAGTGATCCATTTTCGAATAATCTGCATCAAACAAACAAACACAAATTTAACATGGAACACATACACAATCAAACACTTGCATCAGTGAAAATGAAGGGAGAAATCTAAAGATTACCAGATTCACGGTCTCGTGGGATCAAAATAAATACTCCCAAAATGATAGCTAAAATCAGTGCTCCTCAACTAAAACCAAATCTCAAATCCGCTTCTTACTCTGTTTCAACAGATTCACAAAAAAAGAACAAAAATTAAATGGAGCTGATTTCAAACTCTATAGTAAGACTGAATAACAATATTGAATGCTTATCCTTCTTGGCGTCATAAACATTACATTGTTCAACAAATTTAGAGAAAACTACATGTTCCCACCCAAGGGTTGGCCTTGTAAGTTTTCACCCCTAGTTTCATAAATTTCATATTTCCACATTTAAATTAACAGAAAATGGTTTAATTTAATCGTTATAGGGTAAATTTGTCATTTATGTAGCATTAAATTTGAAATTAAAATTAAAATTTTAAAATAACCTTCCACATCTCAAACTTCTCTCACAAGCACCCACCACATCTTAAGTTCGAAATATGACGATCACACCCCTGCGACAAAAACACGACTTGGCAACTTGTGGACAGCAAACGGCGAGTGGGGGAGGCTAGTGCAGGTGTGCGTTTGTTGAGGAGAGGATGGGGGTTCGAATGGTTGTGAAAAGGGTATTACCAGTGTCACAACCAGCTAGAATCTAGTTGTAAACTTGGAGAATCGCGCGAGATTACAGGGGCTGTTGGTCGGCAATCTGTAGGTGCATCAGGGTGGGAGTGTGAGGAGTTTTGGTGATTGTGGAGTGGGGGTTCTGATGGTGGTGACAGTGGAGTTGGTGATGTAGGAATCAGTCGGAAATGGCCTAAGAGCGGCGGTGGATGAGAGGAAAAGTCGTAGAAATTGAGCAATCTCGTCGCCTTGGTGGGCATCGGTTAGGCGAGGGTGAGGGGTGCCGATCCTAGTCTCTTTTGCACTCTACTGTCGTGGCTTTGGCCGATCTATGGTGTCGATTGTGGTGGCTGGGGTTTGCCCAGCTTGTAGGGGTACGATGGACAAACTTCTATCTTCCAAGGAGGTTTATGATATTTGGCCACCACAATCAAAAGTACAAGTTAAAGGGTAATTTGGTAATAACATATTTTATATTGTTTCATACCCTAACAATGTTAATTTACTTGTGGGAATCTGGAAAGACTAGAATTTATGAAACCAAGGGTGGGAACCTGTAGATTCGCCAAACCTTGGGTGGGAACATGGCATTTAATCACAAATTTATAACAATCTATTAATTAGAACATCAGATGGAATACTACTTTACCATAATATGACATTGTTCAACAAATTGTTACATTTTTTTTTTCTGAAATATTGAACAATTGTTAAATCAAGCAACTTATTATAATTCTTTCTTTATAATATAGATTTTATAACGTTTATATCTAATTCATTATTAATAAGAAGTTAAATATGACTAACTATATTGCATAAATTTTGTACACATATTCTTTGAAAAACTAAAAAGAACTAATAATTAAATATAGATAAATACATAGACATAAATATATAATTATGATATTAATTACTGATTCTATATTATTGAGAATCCAAAAGTTATATTCATATTAAATATCTATTTCTACTTAAAAACACACTGATTACAAAATGCAGTTTTGAAGTTATTTTTAACTTTTGTATTAAATAAATAATTATTCCAATCCCGCTGCACATTATCCGAAGAGTTGTTTTAAACATCAAGAATAAGTGTGTTTTTAATAAACAATTGTCTATTCATCTTTTGTTTGTTCATATTCTTTGTTTATGAAAATTCATTCAATGATATTTATGTCTATATAAACAAGCGTGCACGTTCACAATTTTTTTTTTTTTTTTTTTTCATTCACATACCATTAACCAATGACAAATAGAAAACCAACCATGGACAATCTAGAAGCAAAGAAAGCAAGAACATAAGATAATTAATATTTAACAATTTCTCATATATTTCTTTCTATACACCTACTATGATATTAATAATTTAATATATGTAAAACTTTAATAAATTAATACAATTTCATTGTTTGTTTTCCACAGTTGAAGTGGCAATGTCGGATAGATAGGTTGAAGAGATATTATAAAAAACGTTAGCACCAACCTGGAAAACAATATCTTTGAGATTTTCCAAGTTGGTGCTAATGTTTTTCAGAATATCTTGGAGTTCAACCTGTCTATTCGACATTGTCACTTCAACCATGGAAAACAAACAATGAAATTGTATTAATTTATTAAAGTTTTACATATAGAAAGAAATATAAGAGAATTTGCTAAATGTTAATTACCGTATGTTCTTGCTTTCTTTGCTTTTGGATTGTCGGATATATGGTTTTATGTCTACCATTGGTTAATGGTATGTGAATGAAAAAAAAAATAATAATAAAAAAAAATTGTTGACTTATAAATATACAATCATACAACTCATATTGATAAGGGAGAACCATCTTTTCCCACCCAAGGTTTGATGAAAGGACACTTTCCCATCTATCAAGTTTCAAAATAACACTTTCACACACTTCTTTAGGTTTTGTTAGTATTTTTTGTTAATATTTGATTGAAAATATGAAAATACCCTTAAATAGTTTATTATAAATTAAAATTTAGTTAATTTAAAGTCTTTATTCGACTATCTATTAGTCAAAGTATAAAAATAATTTTTTTCTTTGTTTATTTAATTAATTGGGAATATTGATTTTTTATGTTAATTACTAAAAATAAAAAACATTATAAATAATAGTGATGTGATTTTGATGACATTATAAATAAATATTAAAATTTTTTAACTTTATATTGTTTACTCCTAACTTTTTAGGTGAGGTTAACTATTTTTTCTTTTTTGAATTTTAATATTTGACTTTTTGGTTATTTAAAAAATAATAAAAAATTTATAAAGTAAAATATTTAAAGGTATTTTTGTCTTTTCAGTAAAATATTAACGGAAAACATAATAGAAGTATAGAACCTAACGAAGGGTAAGAAAGTGTCATTTTGAAACTTGATAGGTGGGAAAGGGTTGTTTTGTCAAACCTTGGGTGGGAAAATGTCGTTCTCCCTATTGATAACAATCAAGCTCACAAGTGGTCCATGTGCCAGGTCACACATACTGTTTTGCTTCGTCTAATTGCATCACCCAGTCCCACGCATTGTATAAACATATACTATGCTTGGGTATGTGCAATTGTGGAGATCTCGGTTATAACCGAAAAACAGATCCATTAGGAGTTTCATTCAAGAAATATTTGGCAGTATTATTTTTTATTTATCAAAATGTGCAGCGAGTCTACAGACGAGGTCCCTTGCCCGACATTCTTCCGCCCCGAACACAAATGCTTGTTATAGACTATTTTTCAACCACCTATGTAAATGTATTAAGTTAACGAGTCTAATAAGAGTGGATTAGAGTAGAAATACTTATGTTAAGACTATTAATGTACTTCAATGTAACTAGTATTTTTGTTTATAACTTCTTTAGGTCCTAATTATTTTTAGATGTTAATCCAATTCAGTTAAGCTACCGTATTCATAGTATGGATATTTGGTACATATCTTTTATATAATTATAATCGTAGATACAAACTTTAAAAAATTATTTTCTTTATTATTTGCATTAAATAAATATTGGTCATTCAAGGGATTAATTTCCCACGTATTAGATTTTAAATGTAGCAACGTTATTTTTTTTGCTACGGTAGATTAGAAAAGTCTCCGTTTGTCACTTCCCAAATATCGCAGACTTCCGGCTAGACCGCCGTCAATTTAACACGGTAGTAATGGAAAGTCAAATAAGTCATCTCTCACCCTCGCAAGGTTTCCCGCCTGTGCAATTACTTCACTACCCATACTTTACCCGTCAAATCACAGACTCAACCTCAGCAAGTCCCCACGTATACAGTGTCATTCTCGTCAACACAAAAACTTAACCTCCAACCTTGACACATCTCTGCATGTCCAAATACTTCCCTCCCTCTCTCATCTCATCTTTCCTAAATATACATCGCTTTTCTCGGCAATCGAAATTGTAGAAACGTTTCTGAAACGATGCAGTCAGTAAGGACCCGCCGCAAAGTGGCTCCAGCCACCGCAAACGGCGGTGACTCAGCCGAGAAATTGGACCAACTTCTCCTCTCATCCGCCATCTGCAACGGCGAAGACTTAGGGTCGTTTGTTCGCAAAGCCTTTGCATCAGGAAAGCCCGAGACACTCCTCCACCATTTGCGCCAGTTCGCCCGATCCAAAGAATCCGAAATCGAGGAAGTCTGCAAGGCCCACTACCAAGACTTCATCATGGCCGTTGATGATCTCCGATCTCTGCTCTCTGATGTCGATTCGCTCAAATCGGCTCTCTCCGATTCAAACTCAAAACTCCAGTCTGTAGCTGGTCCGCTCCTATCCTCACTTGACTCGTACGTAGAAGCGCAAAATATTTCGAAAAATGTTGACTTAGCGCTGAAATCAATTGTGTCTTGTATGAAACTGATGGAGCTTTGTTCACGAGCAAATCATCATCTTTCAAGCAACAACTTTTACATGGCTTTGAAGTGCACAAATGCAATGGAGAATGAGTTCTTAGATAAAACGCCTTCGTCTACTTTAAAAAGAATGTTAGAAAAGAAAATTCCAGCGATTAGAACATATATCGAGAGAAAGGTAAACAAGGAGTTTGGTGATTGGCTAGTTGAGATCCGTGTAGTATGTCGAAATTTAGGTCAATTAGCAATCGGTCAAGCTTCTTCGGCGAGGCAACGAGAAGAGGATTTACGAATCAAGCAGAGACAAGCTGAGGAACAGAGTCGGCTCAGTTTGCGTGACTGCGTTTACGCTTTACACGAGGATGACGAAGATGGATTTAACAACGGTGTTGAAAGTGATAGTAACGGTGTCTCTGGTCTGTTAGGGTTTGATTTGACTCCTCTTTATAGGGCTTATCATTTACACCAAACATTAGGTCTTGAAGATCGATTTAAGCAATATTATTTTGAAAATCGGAAGCTTCAATTGACGTCTGATTTTCAGGTATCCTCAATGACTCCGTTTTTAGAATCTCATCAAACATTTTTCGCCCAAATTGCTGGTTTTTTTATTGTTGAAGATCGAATTTTAAGGACCGGTGGTAATTTGATATCTAAAATTGAAGTTGAGAATTTGTGGGATGCAGCTGTTAGTAAAATGTGTTCAGTACTGGAGGATCAGTTTTCGAGAATGCAAACTGCTAATCATCTCCTTCTGATTAAGGATTATGTGAGTTTGTTGGGTGTCACATTGCGCGGATATGGGTACCCAGTTGATGCTTTGCTTGATGTTTTGAGTAAACATAGGGATAAGTATCACGAGTTATTGTTGTCAGATTGTCGTAAACAGATTGCTGAAGCCCTTGCTGCTGATAAGTTTGAGCAAATGTTGATGAAGAAAGAGTATGAGTATTCTATGAATGTGCTTTCATTTCAGATTCAGACATCGGATATTGTTCCTGCATTTCCTTATGTTGCGCCATTTTCGTCTACGGTGCCTGATTGTTGTAGGATTGTGCGGTCCTTCATTGAGGACTCAGTGAGTTTCATGTCGCATGGTGGGCAGCTGGATTTCTATGATGTTGTTAAAAAGTATTTGGATAGGCTTTTGGCTGAAGTTTTGGATGAGGCTCTTATGAAACTTATTAATACATCTGTTCATGGGGTTTCTCAGGCAATGCAAGTTGCAGCTAATATGGCTGTTTTAGAGCGCGCTTGCGATTTTTTCTTTCGTCATGCTGCACAGCTTTCAGGAATTCCATTGAGAATGGCAGAGAGGAGTAGGAGGCAGTTCCCTCTAAACAAAGCGCGTGATGCTGCCGAGGACATGCTGTCTGGGTTGCTTAAAACAAAGGTTGATGGTTTCATGACATTGATTGAGAATGTGAACTGGATGGCTGATGATCCCGTACAGAATGGCAATGAATATGTAAATGAGGTCATAATATATTTGGAGACTCTCGTTTCTACTGCACAACAAATATTGCCCGCTCAGGTTCTTAGAAGGGTTCTACAAGATGTTCTTTCTCACATATCAGAGACCATTGTAGGGGCATTATATGGTGATTCTGTTAAGAGGTTTAATATAAATGCTATCATGGGAATGGATGTAGATGTTCGACTTCTGGAGTCTTTTGCTGATAATCTAGCTCCCTTGTTCACAGACGGGGATGCAAATCAGTTGAAAACAGCTCTTGCTGAGTCAAGGCAGTTGACTAATTTGTTATTGAGCAATCACCCTGAGAATTTTCTGAATCCAGTGATTAGGGAGAGGAGCTACAATACTTTGGATTACAGGAAAGTAGTGACAATATCAGAGAAGTTGAGGGATCCTTCAGATCGGCTGTTTGGAACCTTTGGAAGCAGGGGAGCCAGGCAGAATCCTAAGAAGAAATCTCTGGATGCTATGATAAAAAGACTCAGGGATGTGAGCTGATTTGGGACGGAGCTTAATGTATGATTCTTGGTCTTTTTCCCTTACCACTGCTGATTGTGATTGGCATATCTTTTAGAGGTTCATTGCTAACTCTATTTGGCTTTCGATAAGGCCTTCCAATTCTGGTCATTTGATTGTATTGTTAGCCATCAAAATTTTATTTTTGTTTGTAAAATAAATTCTCATACATAGGTATTCAGTTATTGCATTGCATTCTTTTGAGGTATATTAATGAATTTGCTGTCCCTTCTTGCATTGTGTGTTAAGGTTAAGATCTAATGGTTAATTGTTAGGCCCAAACAGTACCTTATACATGCATCAGGATACATATAAGAAGAGTAAGACCTTTCGTGTTGATGCCATCATTATTCATGTTTGAACTTACATGAACCAGAACTTAACCTTCGGTAAGCTTGAATTTGGTGGTTTAACCAGATTGCTTGATTATTTGGCTCTTGGAGGAATGTTGTCAGTTTGGAGTTCTGATTACATTTTCTGTTAACCTGACTTTTCTTATTAGGACTAGATAGATTGGTTTATATGCAAATGGCTATATTGATTATTTGTGAGAAAAGAGATTGAATAGGATGCTGCAGGATTAAAGAGTGAATTATGAGATGAATTATATATATTTTTTAATAATATTAGCATGAATTAGATCAGGTATTATGAAGCTCGCACTCCTTTTTGGGGAAAGAATCTTGTATTTTGAGATCATGTTTGGCTTGTACAAAATGGTGATCTAGTTTTTAATACTGTCATGGACTTTTGGATTTCATGAATAAGCCCAGTATGAATTGTTAATCGGTGTTATTCTCTGAAGTTGGAATTGGTGACAATCTGGATAACACTGCTAAAATAGAATGATTGGTCTGAATGTATTGTATTGTATTAAGAAACATTTATGTATAGCGTTAGTTAAATCTTTATTTCGTGTCTTCTGGGGGCAAATAATCGTTTGGAGAAGGTTATTAAAAGTTTGGACAACTTTTCAACTGTTTATTTTGAGTTTTTCTATTTAAATATCTCTCAGCTTGAAATTGGTGAGGGTAGTGGTTGTTTATTGTGATTCCTTGTCTTACACCTGTTTGTGTTGGTTTAGAAAAAGGATGATAGTGTATGATAATTGAAACTCTTGTGTTTCTTCTAATGTTCCTATCTGCTTCAGCTCATGATTGAACTTGGTGGTCTTCTTTGCGTACTAGGAAATTCTCGTCTACCACTTTTCTGACCCTCTGGACAAGGCTAACTAATCTTCATGTTAATCCAACTGCTTCGGAATGTGCTAAGTAGGAGTGGTTGATGTTGATCAGACTAATAATTGTATCAATTTCGTAATGAGAGGCGCCTCCACCTATTTGACTGTGTTTGTTGAATACTAATTTTCTTTATTTAATCTCGTTATATTAATTAAGATGTCTAATTTCGAGATTATTCTTTCTATAGTTTGAATGAAGGATGATGCAGATTGCTGTCCTCACCCATTTGGCGTTATGTAGACTTCGCCCTTGCTATATTTCGAATTTCTAATTCAGCCGGTAGCCCAAAATCTTAAAGAAGGGACCAAAGTTTGATAAATCAGTTGTATAGCAATATGTATATGATTATAACATATTCAAGGAAATGAACACGACCTCTATTTGTTATCGAAATCAACGTTATGTTGCTTTTCCTTGACCACTGGGCTCAAGGTCACCTATGACATGAGTTGAATTTTACGTTCAATTTGCATGTTTGACAATTTTTGTAGTAAGTTTTCTACCAGAATTATCCTCGCTTGACCTGAGGATCTCCTTTACTGTGATATGTAGGTTTCCGTTTTAATCGGTTGATTTTGGTAGTGCCGAAATCTTTTCACCTCAATATCATTAAAGAGTAAACGGCATGTTCCCACCCAATGATCAGCGAAATGGCAAGTTGCACCATGGTTCTATTTATTCTAAATTTTCACCTTTAAATTAACAAAAAATATTTAATATAACGTTATTAACAAAAATTGTTTAATATCCAAATTTTCACCTTTAAATTAACAAAAGTTGTTTAATGGTTGCTTTGGTTTGATTTTTGGAGTTGTTTGAGTGTAGTTTGTTTGGCTATTGATTGGAGTTGATTTGTTGAATTTTGGGAGATTAGATTGTTAAAAAATTGGCCATTTTTCACTAACCCGCCGGCGCCCAGCATCTGTTTTTAAAAAGGCCACAACCAACGGTGGCGGCAATGGCAATGGAGATCAGGAGGGTTAGATGAAGAAGAAGAAGAAGGGAGGGCAATTTGGTAATTTTAATCCTACATATATGGAGTTCACTGACTCTGTCATGTGGGTGGGGGTCTGGAATAAATGAAACTAGGGGTGGAAATGTGTGCTTTTGCCAATCTTTGGGTGGGAACATGTCGTTTGCTCTATCATTAAAAGAACAAAATTGGAGGTTTGATTTGGGTGAAGAGTGGGGTATTGGTTTATTTTTAACAAGGAGAGGCTGAAAATATCAATAATTCTTTTGTCTGTACTAATGTGTGATTTGATTGTTACAGAGCATCTTAAATTGGAGAGCTGTCACCATCTGCTTACAGCCCTGCATGCGTGATCACAGATGCCCCTTCCAGTTCCACCGCATCCACATCCGTTTCGTCTTTCACTTCATCAGCCTGTCAATTGTTTAATTTCACTTTCTCCAAGCCTATCTACTTTTACTTGGCTTTAATTTACACATATTTATGGTTAATCAGTGCAGCAGAAATAACTTGTAATACTACGTGGAAGCTTCAGCTCTTTACAAACTGTCAAAACAGATCGGTTGGATATGGTTAAGATACTACTGTATCTTGAGCGAGAAAATATCAAGGATATAATGCAATTAAAACCTTGACTTGAATAACAATTGTGACAAAACGGCCTCCATCAATGTATACCGAAATCATAAAATTCATTTAATGCAAAACCAACTAAGCAACTACAATCAAGAAAGAAAGAAAGAGAGAGCGAGATGGGTTTGTTAACCTTGTTCGTTTTGATCTCCTTCAGAGCCCCAATTGCTTTAAGCGACAGTAATCCGTCTGCATATGAAGTTATTCAAGAATACGACTTCCCGGTGGGTATTCTTCCTAAAGGAGTAACGAGCTATGATTTGAACAGAGATACTGGCGAGTTTTCAGCATATATTAACGAGACTTGCAGCTTTTCCATTGATTCTTATGAGCTGGAGTACAGTTCCACAATCACAGGTGTTATATCCAAAGATAGAATCAACAACTTGAAGGGTGTTAAAGTTAAGGTGATTCTGCTGTGGCTTAATATCGTGGAACTGGTTCGTGATGGTAATGACCTTCGATTCTCCGTGGGGATCGCCTCTGCCGATTTCTCAATCAATGATTTTGGAGAGTGCCCTCAGTGTGGGTGTGGATTTGATTGTAATGATTTTCTATTATCTTCTTCTTAGTTGATTGTAATGAAATTAGGGAGGTTTCACCCGTATCCTCTATTGATCTTATTAGTTGTCATTACACCTCATGCATGGTGGACATTGGTTTTGTTGGGAGGCTTTGATGATTGATCTTAACCAATTGATTCGAGATAATTTCTGGAATTATAACTACAAAATCTAATTTCATTTTTATGTTATTGCAACTTGTATTTTAAGTTTATTATTTTAAATATAAACGGAAAAGAGATTGAACATCTTCTTACTGGGGTTACGTATATATGTTAACTGAGACAAAGATTGGGGATCGGAGGTGAAGAGTGAATCAGACAGGGTGACAAAGAAGGAGGAAAAATGCAATTTTTAATGATTACTATTGCGTAAATCAATATTTACTTACTCGAATACTCCCTCTAGTTTTTTAATAAATGACGTTTTGAGATTTTAAATTTTTTTAATTTTTTTTCAAATTAAGTGTTATTGTCTTATCTATGACATCTCCTCTCCCCCCATCTCCTCTTTCTCTCTCTCTCTTTTTCAAACGTCATTTAACACAATTTTTCCATCATTACTTTTTTTTCGTTACATTTCTCACCGCACTTTCAGGAGAGGAGCGAATAAGAGATAGAGTAGAAGAGAAAAAATTTTTACATTAAAAAATTAGTTTATTCAAAAGTGTGCTTAGTTTATTAAAAAATGTGCGATTGCTTAAAACGACTTTTATTTAGCTATTTTTTTACGATTATGAGGTTCATTCGAATATGAAATCCAATCCTGGAAATACAGCATCCCACCTTTTTTTCTACGCAAAGTTTCGATACATTTCGCAACCGAGAAATTTCTACTGGAGCAGTTGCTATCTGGGAATAATTAGCCGATCTAGATTTACGAATGATTCTAGATTATTAATTGGTAGTATGGAAAGAATTAGGGGAAGAAGGACCCACAGGTAATGAATGGGAAGATCGAAAAATTGGAAGAAGAAGGGATTTTTTGGTTAGACGCATGGAATTAGCTAAGCATTTTCTTCGAACAAATATAGAACCCGNTTTATTATTTTAAATATAAACGGAAAAGAGATTGAACATCTTCTTACTGGGGTTACGTATATATGTTAACTGAGACAAAGATTGGGGATCGGAGGAGGAAAAATGCAATTTTTAATGATTACTATTGCGTAAATCAATATTTACTTATTTCATTCTAATGTTATCTATTTACAGAGTTCAGTGGTCTCAAATGTCTCATCAGCTAAAAAATTAGCTATACCAACTTACAATTAATCATATCCTAAATGTCTGATGAAATTTTGACTTACGTAAAATGTGTTGCTTCAGGTAGTATATATATGTATATTATATTCCAACTCATTTAGAAGTTACAACCACCTCTTCGTCTTGCACTAACCAAACAGTCAAAAGGCAGATAATATTTCAAGGAAGATGAGCTTATTCTTCCAACCCAAATCTCATTTCCTCAATGGCGTCTCTGTCCCTAATTTTCATCTTCTTGATCTTCTTCTCAACCCCATTTGTCTTCGCCGATGACAACACCACCACCACCACCAAAACTGCATACGAGATTCTTGAAGAATACGACTTCCCCATTGGTCTCCTCCCCACAGGTGTAACAGGCTATGAATTTGATAATTCCACCGGTAAGTTCTCTGTCTACTTGAACGGTACTTGTACTTTCTCCATTGATTCATACGAGCTCAAGTACAAGTCCACCATTACTGGTGTTTTAACCACAGACAAACTGTCAAGTTTAAGTGGTATCAAAGTCAAGGTAGTCCTATTTTGGCTTAGCATTACTAAAGTGACCCGTGACGATGATGAGCTCGAGTTCTCTGTGGGGATCGCTTCAGCTGATTTTCCCGTTAGTAATTTTGATGAGTGTCCAACTTGTGGGTGTGGCTTTGATTGTGTCAATATGAGTGGAAAGAAGCGCAAGTTCAGTCCTTTACTTTCGTCTTATTGAGTAAGTTTTCCTTGAGACTGCTTCGTAGTAAAAACCACGGTGATGGTGCTCCATGTATTATTAGATTATATCGTGCATTTATCTGTAATATTAACGGTTTGTTTCTAGCATTTGGCTGGAGTCTAGATATCTTGACTTTGTGTTTATTATCGTCATCATGATTGATTAATGAATTGAGATCTCATAGTCATGCCACATGGTGAATTTCATTCGAAGAATATGCTATTTTACACTTTATTTTATATTTGATACTTGGATTACCCATTTGGTAAGGAAACTAATATCTCAAGTAATCACCATGACTTTTCAAAAAGGTTTTGAAATCTATACCTTTTCAATGTTATTTTTGGTTGACAAATACCGCTAGATGCCACGTGACCTGAGGTTCTCAAAGGCGGTGTGTGTAGAAGGCAAAAGCCCAATTGATTTGTAGTTCATTTCCTACATTTCATCGTCAGCTTTTGGTGCCTAGTGGGAAGTAGACTAAACGGAGAATTTATTCTGTTCAATCTTTCACCGAATAAACACAAAAATTAAACATCCTCCTTCATTGAACCAACCCCACCCATGATGTCGTTCCCACTCACACCTGTTTATCTCTTCCTTTTTTCTCTCCTCATCTTCCTCAACCAATCCACTCTCGCCGCCTCAACCACCACCAACACCACCGATTCCGATACGAAGACAGCCTATGAACTTCTAAATTCCTTCAACTTCCCCAGCGGTCTCCTCCCAAAAGGTGTACAAAGTTATGATTTGGACCAAAGGACTGGCCAATTCCACGCCTATTTGGGTGGCACGTGTAGTTTCTCTCTTGAAGGTTCTTATCAACTCAAATATAAATCCACGATCAGCGGTTACATATCCAATAATAGACTCACTAGCTTGACTGGCGTAAGCGTCAAAGTGTTGTTTCTGTGGCTGAATATTGTGGAGGTTATTAGGAATGGAGATAATATTGAGTTCTCTGTTGGGATTGCTTCAGCCTCGTTCCCGATTGATAACTTTTATGAGTGTCCACAGTGTGGTTGTGGATTGGATTGCGTGAATGGGCAAGTAAGCAAGCTTAGAACGAAATCTTTTGTTTCTTCCATCTAGCGGATTCAATCTCTCCTTGAATTCGAATGATGGTCGTATGTTATTTGGGATGGATTCTGTGGGGTTAGTGTTCGTTATCTATGAAATTGTTGAAGTTTTACATGGTTTGGCTGGAATTAATTTCTTTATCTATTTTATTTTCTGTTTGTTTGTTTATATTTGTGTTTGGAATGCTTATATTGCTTGTTCATAGATTATATTACTTTATTATTGGGGCCTGCCGAAAGATCCCTCAGTGGACAATAAAAGAAGACTGCAATTAGTTATGTATGCAGTAGATAAGCGGGGGTGAGGTGAAATCTAAAAATCCCCTTTTCGTAGGTGATCCTTTCAATTGGCTAGAATCCGTTAGTTATGTTGTGTTGTGTAGGAAGTTTGTATCGATTAGAATAAGAGATTTGTATTATGGGGCAAAATGGGTGGAATAATTTTGTAAATTAAATTGATACCTTTAATTGTACTTGAAGGGAAAAATGAGTGTCAAATTGCCTATAACAGTTCATATAATATCCACTGTTGTTGAGTTTGTTCATTTTAGCAAATAATTGTTAGGCTATGCACTACATTGGCAAAACTCTGATTGACTATGAAAAGAAGTACGCACCATTGGAAAAGACTTGCCAGGTTAGGGATTGAAGACACAAAATAGTCTGATACAACCCTCCTTTGTGAACTTGTTCATTCTTGTCAAGGCATATCATTCAAGTTCTTATTCTGCTTTCCATCCCGGCCCTGAGGCAAGAGAATGAGCAACCAAATGAAGGAACTAAGCCCAAACTAGTGGTCTTGAGTCAAGTCCTTTGGTCACCACCAACCTCACTCAAACTAACCTGCATCCTTCTTTGTCTCCATCGAGTCCATTCCTTTGGTCACCACCAACCTCACTTGAACTAACCTGCAGCCTTCTTTGTCTTCATCGAGTCCATTCGATCCTGTCAATAAACAATTTCAATTAACATTGCCTTTACTCTAAGCCTAGCAAACCGTCTAACTTGAACCAACCTTGGGGAGGGAAAGAGAAGGTTCTGAAAGGGAAGCTCAATTAAATGAGTGGGAATTTGGAAATAGAGAAATCACAAAAAGTTTTGTTTGCTTCTGCCTTGCTAAGGGTCGCTTCATTTTTGTGACTACAATCTGTTTGGCAACACTTACTAATTCAGAATAATGGTTGAAGAGTTAGTCCTTCATGAACAGGGGAATCACTGTTAGTATAGCATGTTGCTTTCTCAATATTTCAAGCGAAATTGTTGTTTGAATGTCATGTAAGATTTTGAGGAGATCAAAACCAGGTTAGTAGTCCACCCCAAGTTTCTTGTTGTTGGTAGAAGTTATATTGTTGTTTAAGTACGTTTTTGTATAATAAGTTGTTGAGAATGTGTTTTCATTGTTATTTTGTATTTTATAGATATCTGATATCATAAGATTTTAATCTAAGACGGAAAGCCTGAGGGCACATGTAGTTGTGGTTGATCACAGATTGGACACTTGCATGGCAGAGAGACTTATTTTATATTCCAATTTGTGAAAGGAATGAAGATAGCTCTGTAGAAACTCTAAGATTAAACTAGGTTTATCTGGAATTACACTTGATGAATAGTTATTGTTTCCTAACTTGGAGCAGTATGCTGTTTTATTTAGAATGATAGATGCTAGGCTGACCATTTAAGGTTAAGAAAGCAGGATGCGGTCAAAAGTTTGGAAGGATCTTAAAGGTCTGGGTCATAAGAAAGTTTTCTGTTTTTAATTATCTGCTCTGCATTATCTCCTCTAGCCATGGGAGATTACAAAATATAAATGCCTGCTCCGCTTCTTGCAGAAGCATTAAGTAGATCATGCAGAAATTTATGTTAAAACCCCCAAGTTATATGTCTTGAGTAGTGCTCAATACCATATCATATTCTGGCTGTACTCTTATGGTCACGTTCCATTTCTAAACTTGGGTTAATTTTGTTGAAATGATTAACATGTCTTAAAAATAAGCCTTAAAGTTGAGGCTATATTATTGGTGTGGTCATTGATATTTTCTAATTTAGGCAGAGGAGGAACAAAGTGATGTAGGACAATAAACAGCAAAGAGCAGATAAATTTAGGAGATGTCCTTTGAAGAATTCTGGTAATTATTTTAGTGCAAAATGAAGGGTGCTATTAACACATTGAAGCAATTATATGTTTATAGTTTGTTCATGATCTATTTCTACTACTTTGCTGCCTCCGTTTTTTTTCCAAGTCTCGGTTGTGTGCTCCATGGTGTTAATACTCCTACCAGGCTAAGCAACTTTTGTACCGTCTTTTCAGATTGGGGAAGCATATACTTGTCCAATAATATGTTTCACCTTTAGGTTCTATTGATTTTTGTGGTGAAATATTTGATGATATTTGGAATCATCCCCTACTATTCTGTTTGCAGATGTAGAGATTGATAACATTCATGACTAGTTTAAATGAGGCGAAGGCGAATATGGCTTTTTCTTTCTCTATCAAATCAATCCACTATTCCTTTAATTTCATTGTTGCTTTTTTAGTTGTCAGGATCTGTTGTATTCCAGAAACATTCTCTGATAATTTGTGGATGGCTATGACCCGCACAGCTACTCTGTATTGCAGAACAAAATTCAAACAATGCAAGTTACTTTAGTTTCTGGTTAGCTGTAGTTTTACAGAGTTGTGTGTTCATTGGCCATCCTTCTAGTTCTGGGTGAGATTCGTTGTTGACAACATAGGAGCACAGCAGCTGTGTTGTGGACATAATCAATTAGACAACGTCTTCTCAAGTTTTGAAATGATTCTATTTGTGATATTTTTGGTGAACATATCAATCAGACAAATCCACCTTTGATATTTTGACACTTGCCCTATTAACAGCCTTCCGCTACTCTTTTGTGGCTAAAATGATCTTCCGCCTGGAAATGAAAACCTGTACATAGAATCCTATTTTCTGATCCATGATGGAAGATTTTGATCCAGCTAATTCAAGGTTAATATCCGTTGGGGCATGGAGTTTGTCTTCTTCTATGGAACCTGCTAGATTATTCATTCGGACCAAAGTTTTATTTGCACATGTTTTACTTCTTTTCATGTGTAAGAATTGCTTATTAAAGTGGCAGCCACCATCTTCGAATTTTCCAAAGTCCTCGCATGCGAGAGAAAGCACAATTATTATTGCTCAAACTTTGTTGCATCCTGGAAGCAACTCTCGTCAATTTTAAACGTATTCTACTTTCACAAGTAAACTGTAAATGACGGGACAATCCACCACAACCACATTCATAATTTAAGCATCGACCCAAGTACAGTTTTTGATAGTTGACTCTTCTCATTCAGTTATGCTTGTACGTGTCGTCAGCAGGAGTCGGACCATTCACCGCATCTTAGGTTGCATTGCAAACGTGACCCACCACAAAAAAAATATATATATTGAAATACATGCACTGAGGGACTCATTAGCAGGACAATTTCGGCCTCACTTGTAGCATCTTTTCCTCCACACTTATTTATTAACAATCATAGAAAGACCTAAGCAATGTAACAACAACGATATTAATAAAATAAACAACCGATGATATGCGGCTCACGTATAAGTTTGTGATGTTGGACAAGTAAAAGGAACGATAAACACAATAATGCTCTATTGTCGCATAATAACAAATAATTATATAAAAACAATAAGGATGTGACTTTGTCTACCGTAGAATATTATGAATCTAGAAACTACAAGGCACAAGACGACCAATAACAGAGTTGGCTATTTTCTAGGTAAGTTGGGAGCTTATAGTATGTATTTTGTGTTTACCGTTGTTTGGCATGATTACTTGACTAAATTTATTATGTAAACTTATAAACACAAAAATAACAAATCCCAAAAGGCTGAGAAGTCGGTAAGGGAAAGGAAAACTATAACAGATTTTTTCATCAGATTCTGGATTGCAATGGTTAGATATCTAAAACCGTAAAACGTAATGTAACCAGTGGTTAGGATTTGGGGCTTTTATACTAAGATTTTATCATGTAGAAGAGACAGGAAACATGCAGTGTATTGCGCTTACGGCAAACCTATTGCATAATGAATATTAGTAAGATGTAACCAGAAACCAATGACACGTTCGCATAAACGACTAGAAATAGAGGCACGAAAGTTCATGCTGGCCTCTTAGCAAGTAAGCTAAAAAAACCAAACCAATGTGGCCTGGCCAAATACTAATTGAAGTAAAATATTAAAATTGCATTTAAAAATGTTTAATACGGCAAATTACAATCACATATTCTTCTCTTGTAAACAGAGGACAACAATTTCCTTCCAACCAAGATGATGAAATTTTCAGGACACCTCAACAGCTCTTGGGGTTAACCATCATACCCATCCCATCCATTGGCCATTTCTTTGTTGAACCATGATTTTTTTTTTTTAATTATTATTTATTAATTTAGTTCTTGTTCTTCAAGAGCGTGGCACGTAGATCGGCCATGTCGATCTCGTTGGCACCATTCTCAGGCCTGTAGTAACCGGTAACGGGGTCCGGGACCCATGACACCTTCTCAGTTGATCCCACCTTCTCTTCTCCTGACTTCTTCATCATCGCCCCACTTCTTGCTCCTGTTCCTCTAGCCACGTTCGACACAACTCCTTGTGATGCCACCGCGTATCCTCGTCTGTTTCACAAACAACAAAATATTCATTATTATTCACAATTTTTATTATCTATTAATCCATTTTTTTTTATTGTAATAAATAGAGTTTAACTACAAAGTAACTCCGACCATTATTCATGCGGTTAATTATTTCCGACTCTGTTTGGTTACCAAGAAATTGAAGGAAGGGGAAGAATACGTAACATAAAGTATATATAATCATGAAAGAGGAGTAAAAGCATACCTATAGATAGCGTTAGAGATTCCGTCGACGACAACAGCAGAGAAAAGCTTAACGTTGGAGAAAGAGCCAGCCATTTTTCTTATCTTCAACTTTGAGATATTAATTAAAAGACTGCTGCAGAAAGTAATTATGTTATTCTCTTTTCTTCACTGAAGAATACCCTCTACAGCAGCCAAATAAACTTCTCACGATAGCTGACTCTCTCTCTAGAAAGATCTATTTGTGATAAGAAAGAGGAGCTCTGGTCTCTATATAGAGAAAAAATAGAGGAGCCTCAGTTTCTTCGGGAAATACCGTCCACCTGTGTAACACGACCCAGTAAATTAGGCCCTCCTCACACGTAAAGGACCTGTCGTTGTTTGCCACCTGGTTGTTACTCGTCACTGCAATAAGACGTTTTATGTTTGGTGTCAAAGCCTAAATTGATGTTAGTAAGTACTTGTTGTCTCTTAATTACTAAGATCAATATTATTTTACAATACATAAATTTGACAAATTTAAGTTAGTATTAAGAATAACACCAGGTTTATAATCCAATTTCACGAGCTCTTTAAAAATGACGTGATAATTTATCATTAATTAGTTATAAAATAAGTTATATTTAGGTTTTATATCTATTTATGATCATTAATAACGAATTGTCATATGGTAAAATACGAAAGAGGGTGTGGACTTAGTATTAATCTTTTAAAATCTGAAATTGATCTACGGCTGAGATTGGGTGGAACATTTTCTTCAATCAACGTGTGAAAGCGGAGCGCTTTTTGTAACGAAGAAAAATCAGCGTGGGTGCCAAGTTTAAACAAAAGAAAGGTAAACAATTTTATAGCCGTTGATTAATGAGACCACATGTCATCCAGACAGTCCACGTGTGGAGGGACCACTCTATAAAATAGGCGGCGGTTTTTTTTTTCTTCTTGTCCTGGAAATTTAGAGTCTCTTTTGACCACTCGGGCTCCTGAAAGGTCTGGGTGAGTTGCAGGTCCCAGCCAAGTAGTAGAGGGTCAACATTACTCATCGTGGTTTTTATGATACAAATTTTCATCTCACTTTTTGACAGCTTTGAATTAGGGTTAAGCCGCTAAACCAGTGGCGAATATCAAATATAAAGAAAAGTGCACAGGCTGTTGTGTTTCACTTTGGCCTCACATGTTTAACATATTCAAGTTCCCCGTGTTGGCTTTCCTCTTCTGCTCTCAACCTCTAGAATTTGTTTTGTTAGTTTATTTTATTTATTATTTATAAGATGCCTCTATCTGTATCTTTTCGAGATCTAAAAAGGTTATCAAGTTAGAGTTGTCTCTTTGTCTGTGCACCGATGAAATGCAGAAACCATTATTGGTCCATTAAATACGTGGAATGCATGAACATGAACATGATCTCTCCTCTTAACCCTTTCAGAAGCTCATGTATATTAATTTAATAAAGATTTAAAACTTCAAGACAAGTAGAAATTCGGAAATTCCTTGGTATAATGAATTGATAAGACCAATAGTGTGGAAAAACCATAGCAGAGCGCTGCTATTGAAAATACGGCGCCGCATCAAGCGGCTGTTTGATTGTTAATTTGGTCCCACAATCCCAGAAATGTAGCAGACTGTTTCTAATGGACTCAGTGTATCAATAGATGTAGGAACAGGTCATGCATTATGTGAAAGAAATTTGATTATGACGAACCTTCCGTGATGTTGCTTAAATCTTTGTCAAACTCTTTTTATTAATTAGTAAAGATAAGTCAATACCTCATCGCCACAAGAAGATTAACGACAGCAAAAACTATATTGTATTATTTTGAGAGGCTTATTAATTATTCCGTGATGCGCTGATGAATGATATAATACTACAACTAAGTGATTGATGTCTGATGATGACGTTTTCCATTTCAATACAGAATCTGACTTTCATTTCATCACAAGAGGTTTTTGTCTTTCATTTCATCACAAGAGTCGGGGTTAGATATTCTTACGGGATTCTAGGGTCATATTCTTTCAACACCGTCTCACGCTCTATATCATTTAACCCACCACTTTTTTTTTTTTTTTTTTAATATTTTAAATTCCACAACTTATAATTTGGAAGTTAGATGCAATGCAATTTTGAATTATTATTTTTAATTATGTGTCATTTGTTTGATTGAAGTAACAATCATTCAGTATTTCTAGTTTATATGACAGACCAAGCTAATTTTATTTCAATATTTTTATTCTATCAGTTATACTATGATTAAAAAATGAGAGGTATAATTGGGCAATGAAAACAAGATGATTTATATGAACAAAAACCAAATTTGTTTATCGAACACGGCCGATGTTGCAAAATTTGGGCCAATGCCCAACTTTTAAGACTCTAAAATGGGAATGAAGGCCCATATTTGGAGCCCCAAACATGGAGAGTAAACCATGGGGGCCTGCAATGCAGTCGCACATAAAACCCTCTTAAATTCCCAAATAGCGCTTTCGACAGACAACATACCCGAGACATGGAGGAGGTAAATCCAGGCAACGAAATTCCTCAAAACATGACCATTTACATCAACAACCTCAACGAGAAAATTAAACTCGAAGGTTATGCTTCAACTATCTCTTTCTCTCTTTACATTCATACGTATTGTTTGTATCAATCTAATTTAATTTTTACTGTATTTGGTTATTAATTTTAGAGTTGAAGAAATCGCTCCATGCAGTTTTCTCTCAATTCGGGAAGATATTGGAGGTTTTAGCATTCAAGACACTGAAACACAAAGGCCAAGCTTGGGTTGTGTTTGAGGATGTTTCGTCCGCCACTAGTGCTATCCGGCAAATGCAGGGTTTCCCCTTCTATGACAAGCCTATGGTAAGCTGCCGTTTTGAATTTTACATTTTATTCAATTATTTACTTAATTTAATAATCATGTTTGAATGCGTCAAAACAATTACTTGAGACTTTGGAAAGTTAAAGTTTAAGAGTAATGTATTTGTAGCCTGTTGTAGTAATCTGGCCGTGCAACTAAAATTTGATAGACACTTCTGTAACTGAAATAAGTAAGGGTTTCATGTGTGTATATTCCAATGAGGGAAAAATTCATGTATGGTGGCAAGACAATGGACAGCAACAATCATATTCAACATTGATAAACTGTAAAATAGTGATCATAAATCTATAATCTCTTCAATTTATGCTGTTATTTCGTTGGTCAAAGATCATTTTGGTGATTTGGATTTTTATTTCAATTTTTGTTATAGTGATACGCGTTTTGTGAGTCTCAAGCATTTCCTTCTAATTGTAGCTTGAATGACGCAAATAGTTTTGCTGTTAATTGAGTACAAAGAAAGTAAATACTTGCTGTTTTAGGTTCACGGAAAATTTTTCTTCTGGTTGTTCTGTTGTTCATGTGATTGCAGTTATACTTACTCTGGTTGTAATTGTATGATGTACATTTTCCCTTATGCCTTAGAGAATGAGAATTTATTTTCCTATGGATAAATACTGATGGACAATGTGTAACTTAATGCAGAGAATACAATATGCTAAAACAAAATCAGATATAATAGCAAAGGCAGATGGTACCTTTGTTCCACGTGAAAGACGGAAAAGGCATGAGGACAAGGGTAAGACTCCCTTTAGCAGAGCCGCCCCCTTCTTATGGAAGCACTTATGTCACTTGGTTCTCTTTTATGGTTTTTTCCTTTAGATTTTTTTTTTTTTTAAAAATCTTACTGGACAAATCTTCAAATATCAACTGTGATGAATCTTATGTAGCAATGAACATCTTATTTGATCATTTCTATAGGAAGTTGAACTTTTTTTTTTCGGTAGTTTCTTAATTTAATTATATTTTTATCTTATGTAATCTTAATTGAATTATGGTCATGGCATGAATACAAGTGACAATGAAAATTATTGCCTAATATGATAGGAAGAGGAGGAAAACACAACATATGTTAAGTGTCACTTTATTTTGTGTAAGACTGCATAGTTGTCTTTCCTTTATCGTTCTTCGATGAACAAATTTGGTGCAAATTTATAATACACCTTCATCTGACCTTGGATGTAATTATTTATTTGTTATGTGTCAGGTAAAAAACGAAAAGAGCAACATGATGCTAATCAAGCTGGAATGGGTCTGAATCCTGCATATGCAGGTGCCTATGGTGCAACACCTCCGGTAAGTGTCTTGATTGTCCTGGGAACAGAATGCATTTGAGTGGAATTTTGTTTTTAATTGACTTCAATGACTTTGCATCTATGTGCTTGTTTGCTAAAGGTATAGTTATTGGTTTATCATGGCCAAATCAATACACTAGACTGAAACTATTATTGCATTTCAAGAATTTGATCATTTACTATGAAGCTACCAATACTTGAATTTCAATTGGAAAAACAAAAGGAGGGAGGCTAAAATGTAGAAGCAAAGTAATTAAATGAGCTTAATTCGGAGAAAGAGAGAAAATACTTTTATTTAATCTACATTAAGTCCACTTTTTGGAACCGCTGGAAAACATGGTCTTAATTATTCTTAGATATCCAATCAGGGTAGCCTAGGAAAAATGACTCTCTTTCAATATTCTGACATTACATACAGAAGTATAGTTGGTTCCCTGATTCTGTGGAAATTTATATCTAATTGTTCTTCCTATGATACTAATCATTTATCTCTTTCCAAAATGATGCAGCTATCACAAATACCGTATCCAGGAGGTGCAAAATCTGTGGTTCCAGAGGCTCCAGCTCCGCCAAATAACATACTATTTGTTCAGAATGTTCCCCATGACACAACTCCAATGGCACTGCAAATGTTCTTCCTCCAGTTCCCTGGTTTTAAGGAGGTTAGGATGGTGGAAGCAAAGCCAGGGATTGCCTTTGTGGAATATGGAGACGAGATGCAAGCAACGGTAGCTATGCAGGGACTCCAAGGCTTGAAGATCGGCCAACAGAACTTGTTGATTTCCTATGCCAAAAAGTAGAAGTGGTGCTTCTGTTGATTACCTCTACTAATTGTTGTTACCTTGCAGGCATTTAACCTACAATATTATCAATCTAGTTAGATGTCATGCCTGCTAGTCTGCAGTTATCCCGTTAAATTCTCAGTTTCCTGGAAGCCCAAGTGTATTAGATGTATGATTATGACTGCCATGAATTTTTCTGCACTTTTTTCACTCCCAAAATGTTTAATTAGCTTAGTAGTTTGAACGACATGAAGTTCGGTGTATGTATTGCTGTAAAACTATTTAGCCTGGTAATATTTATATTTTGTTTGATGGAATTGAGTTTTTATGCTTTTACACGTGCTGAACATAAGCAGCTATCTCTGATATGAGTAGTCCATTACTGGCTTGTGGCTAGTCATAATTCTTTTCGCTGTGAACTGAATTTAACAATAGTCCTGAACCTGCCCGCTGGCCCCTAGCCCCTTTGGCCCAAACCTTCTTGGTTGAGCCGTTGAGGTTGATTTCACTCAGTAGCGAGGTTGACCTCAGGAGTGCGACATAATTGAATTGAACCAACACTTCATATCGCATAACTTGATCCGTAGTAGAATAGCAATTTGAAATCCAAGTGACGTCTAACATAATTGAACCAATACTTTCTACAAGGTTACACACATACGTCGTTGTAAATATCGCGACAGAAGCAAGCAAGCTCTCAATAATGAGAGGCATGCATGATCCCACCCTAAATGATAAATAACAAACCTTTTTTGTTTCTCTACTACAGTAAGAGATGCATGAAATTCTTTATCACTAACTATACCCTCTCCAACTCAGTTTTGTGTTTATTCAATTGGTCCTTCAACTCATTCCTCCATCCTTGAATGAGTCTCTCCTGTTTATTGATTATCTCGTTTTTAGTCTTCAATTCTTCTTCCATCATAGCAATCTCCTGTTAAAACAAGGGAAATACTTCATCAAGGTCCCCAATGATCCCTGAGTATCAACAATATCAAATGCAGTGTGGTTTGTAGGTCACCTTTCTAAGTATTTCAGTCTTTGTCGGCTGATCCTCCCGTTGCAGACTAGTAAAATACAGTTGTAGCTTCTTGGCAGCCTCCATAAAATCTCTAGCGTGCCTCTCCACATCAACTAAAACAATTACGAAACAAGAAAAATCTCTTATACATGGCTTACATTAGTAAACATTATGCATTCCAATTAATATACACTTCAATGTAATATTCAAATTAGTTCATATTCATTGAGCGATACACATAGTAATTCCATAAAAGACTGAAAAACTCAATTAACTTTGTCCCATTAATAATGTTAATAATGGTAAAAACCTACATCATAAAGTAAATCCGGCAACAGATAAGTAAAACATTTGTCCATTAATTCAGACAACAACAATTTCATTGAGTGGCCCGAGATTAAGCCAAGAAAGTTGACAGAATATTCAAAAGAGAACTAAGAACCGAACTATCTCAAGGTTCACGAGAAACAGAATAATAATGGTACACCGTAATTGTAATGTTAAATTATAGGCATACTTTAATGTCTGTTGATTATGCTTTTCTCATAATCACTTCCATTACCAGAAATGCAAGAGAAGCGGATAAATAAGAATGTTATCTACAGCTGAGACTAAATTCACTCCTGTCAACCAAAGGTGGTGATGTATAAGATCACAGTTGGGGCCTTTTCTTTTCTTTTAATATTATTCCTTTTGGGTTTGACATGAGTACATAAGATGGTATCATAAACCATAGCTGAAAAAAATCATGTTAAAGACCTTTTCGGATTCGGTTATACCCCCAGGTTTAACAGACAAAAAAAAAATGAGATTCAAAGATTTAACAAAATATATATATGTATATATATAAAGAACAATATCTTTCATTAATTTTCATTCTTTGAAAACGAAATCTGGAGGATACATGGATATGGGCGTTGTCTATGAATCCGAAATTCTGAGTCCTGAAAGCTATTTCATTAATTTTCTGTTAAACCCTCACAATTAACCACAGCAGTTCTTACAAGCTAAGCTAATTAGTAAGTCAGTAAAAAGCCATATGCATCATATATTTCAAACTTTCAAAGTTTGGTCAAACAAGGTCAAAGCAACAAAAAGTTTGGGGGTGCAAGAGGATTTGGAGCAAGCATCGTTTGCTTATTGGAATGAAGCATGTGGTGGGTTAATTAATGGAAAACAGCATTGAATAGATGTTGTGCATGAATTAACAGTAGTAGGTTAAAGGAGAGGAAATATTACTCTGATGAGACGGATGTGGAGAACGGTCGATTGCTTGGAGCTCTCTAGCGGGCAAGCACGGAAGCAAAGCGGCTTCTAATGCTGATACGCATGATATCATGTCTTCCCGAGGAGACTGGGCCGCTTGTTCAAGTTGTTGATCTATCGCTGCTTGTTGAGCCATCAGATGTTGCTTCTATCTTTATGAAAATGAATTCCCAGAGAATATCAACATTTAATCAGTTAATACCTAAATTTAACTATACGAGCGAAATACAAAGGTACCTGCAAACGATTTCTCTTCAACTCAGTGTCAGTGAGCTGCGCTTCGATTATGAGTCGTTGCCGTCTGGCAAGGTTACTTTTGGGTTTTTATGCTATATACTGCAGTTCACTTCTGATCGGGCCGGGTTTAAGACAAGGATCCGACACCACAAGTCACACCGATATTGCTCCACTCAATTTCACATATTACCTTTTTTTATTTATTTTTTTTGTGTGAAGTACAAACAGTCCAATGAGGTAAACTGTTCTGTAGATTGACCCTCGGGCCTAAGTTTTAGAAGTAAAGAATCACCAGGCTTCGCTCGTTGGTGATATAAAATTTTGTGTTTAACCATTCAATTTGTGGAAAAATAAATAAAAAAAAAATTACCCCTATTATCTTTTCTGGGCTTAATTTGTGACGAATTGATATTGAATCAGCTATCAATCCCAGCGAAGTGAACCATAAAACATCACAAGGCGAACCTTATACTGTATGTGAAATAATATAATCATTGATGACAGTCCATGATATAAGAAATTCTACATGACATTGACATAACTCGTTTGCAATATTTAAAAATGATTGAAATGACTTTATAAGTATACAATATGGTTTTACTTTTACAGTTCAAACTTCTAAACCGAATTGGGCATGATCTTCCTTGAAACTGGAAAATTTTTAAGTTTATCCCTCATGAGTATAGCAGAATTTAGCATGAACAACATAACGCATCCGAATCTGTTCTACATTATACACTATGTACTCGTTATGCCTGCATGCAACCTGCAAGAAACATTTAAATTACGTATTCAATTTATATCTTAAACACTTTGAATTATCTTCCACTTATTTCCATTTACAATCCAAAGAAAATTGAAACTCAAAATTGGAAAAATGAGATATAAAAGAATAATAAAGTGTTGTACCATGGGATAAGATTGCTCTTTGGGCAATCCAAGTGGAACAATTACACCATCTTCCAGAACCTGTGCTTCTGATAAGTCGGGTGCAATTTTACCAACTCCTTTTGTGCTGCAATATTTAATTAACCAATGGTAAACAGTTTAAAAATGTACAGAAAGTGCAATTAGTTGTTGTAAACTTATCAAAAAGGAAAACACGGCATTAGTTTTAAGTAGAGATGACCGTGAGCTCTCCTTCTAGCTGCAATTTGAACTCGGCTGTCAGTATATCATTAGAAAGTTTTCTGACTTAGCAGCCACAATAAGTAATTAAGTATGATGCAAGGAAGAGAATAAGATTTGACATACAACTATGGAAACTCAGATCCTTAATCCAATTTCCCAAATCGTCTAAATTTTAGTCAAGAGCAAAAGAAAAAGAAAAAAAACGCAGAAAGTAAAATAATAGAAGCGACCTGCGTTTTATTTATGTCCAGTGAAGAAAACCAAAAATGATTTAGAGCATAAGAAATAACCTGAGCTTTCCCTTAGGTAACTTGTCAGCGTTGCAATCCAAAGTCAGAAGCTCGTTCATATCACCCAGTGCAACCTGGATAAAAGAAGGGAATAAGATCAATTCCTTTCGCGGACATAACATTTTAGAAGAAGAAATCCAGAATCATTGATAAAACACGGCTAAAATAAACAAAGCTATCTTTACAGGAAGAACAAACCTCACACAAAAGTAACACAGCATCTGGAGATTTGCTGTTTGCCACACAATAACCCACACTTCTGGAAAACATATCGGAAAAATAAACACCCTTCCCAAAATCACAACCTGATACAGGTGCCTCTGGAGGAGCAATCCGTAAACCTGCTCTTAGAATATGGCCTTTTATGGTTAGTTGAGCTAAGTGTAATGTGATATTCAATCAAACTTGCTCAAATAGGATAACCTTGTGATAATATGCCAGCCCAGTTTGTCAGTCGAGAACCATGCCACAAAAGCATTCTATTTTTTGTGCCAGAGAACTGCATAAGAAGAGTTCACAAAACTTGAAAATATTAGAATTTGAATGGAAAAAGCAAGAATAGGAGGAAAAAAATCTTGTATTAGAAAGAATGATAGCCGTTGGGACAATGAATTTTCACCTTTTCAAAACGTTCACTTTCACCTTGCCTCGAAGCCCTAAATATATTATTAAGTTTATAAGATACTTCTGTGTCAGTGTTCTGTAGATATGTCTTAATCTGCAGGAAGAAACAAAATTTTAGTTTCAACTTCTTATTACGCAATTGAAGAAACTAAACTAAGTAGACCATATGGATAGTGAGATACCATGGAGTATTCTTTGGACTCAGCTTCAATTGGTTCAAGCTCACATTGAAGGCATTGATACCATGAATACAGTGGATCTTCCTGGAAAATCAATGAAGTATATTAGTTAACCGTTACAAGAAGGAATTTGTCTATTATTCATAAAGGACCTGCCGACCTGCCGATGGGCAGTGGCCGCATACTATGTGTCCAGCTAGAAGAAGAGAGATCAAATTGTCTAAACACATTCTTTACTATTAAGTACTTTTTGTCCTATCACTATATATAGTAGTAGTAAAGAGTTGAATCACTTCATTTTTATTTAATTTTTTTGCAATTACAACTTTTCACTAGAATACAAACTGGGTTAAAATGGCCATCCAAAGATTAATCATCCAAACAACAGTTCTATTGGAGCATGACAGCAGTAAAGGTTATGGCTCAAGAATATTTGATTTCAGAATTTCAACTGATTGCAAAAAAATTTACAATGAAATTTGGAATTTGCATCTGTTATTGAGAGACTTATGAAATGACATATATGGGAAGTAGTAAATACATGCCTAAGTTGCCTACACAAACAATGCGATGAAGAGTATTAATAGAAAGCCAACCTTTGCATATATATCCTTCGTCAATGATGTTGCATCGTACCCTAGTTTGCATAGAAGAATATATCAAACAATCAAAATTACTGAAGTAATAGACAACATCTGTATCAAAAAGATTGGGTCAACAGCTTATAAATAGGACGGACCACGTAGAGACGCTTATTTATTAGTAGTCAGCAACTAATTTTTGTCAACTTCTGAAAGAAATTCCTAATATTTTGTAGAAAATTTACTGACCTAAGCCCATGATTTGTTGCTTCATCATGTTGTTATTGCGAATAAGAGATATAAAATTTGCAATTCGAGGATCAAGTTTTGACAACTGAATCTTCGTCACAGAATTAGGCATATCCTGAACCTGATACTTAGAATAAATTATTAGGACAGGACCATGCTGTTGATTAAACAAAAACATGAATAATTATTATTAATTTGCTTACATGCTCCAAAACGTGGTACTCTGCCTTTATGTGATCGGGCAAGTATTGATCCAATACTTCACTGTATTCCGTGTTAGTTATAACTTGCTTCTTCCCCTTTATGTCCACGTCTTTTTCTCCTTTGTCTGATAAACGAAATTCGATTCAATCTATCGGCAAATTCTAACACTGAATTGAATGAATATCCGATACCTTCAGACTCAGAGCAGCTCTTTAAATTTTTCCACGAGTCCGTAAGAAGTTCTTTCTTTAACCAGTTTCCTGAAATTCCTTTTAGAAATGCTTGGCGTTGGAGGCTGTCCATTTGTTGAAGAACCTCAACGGCTCTGATTTTCTCGGATTCGTTCGGATCATTAAATCTGGAGTCTCTTTGCCTCTGCTCACCAACTGACGCATCAAGTGAAGAAATGTTTTCTTCGTTAAGATGCGATTTCAACCTTTTATCCTGCAAAGGCATTGATTAATTCTGAATAAGTTCAACATAGTTAGTAAGAAAAAACAATGAGTAATCGTATTACCAGAGTGTATTTGGGACCAGTGGTGCTTAGACCATGTTTGGATGACTCTACTGGAAGGTCATGTACTTTAGGCTTCTCGGCCATCTGATTGTCAAAGAGATGAAATCTTAATGAGAGAATGTGTCTTGAATTTTCACCGTTTGAAGAACTGGAATGGAGGGAAGCGCTGAGGGAGCCAAAAACAAGTAACAGGTATTTATAATTTTAACTTTCTTTCTCGAAAGCTTCAAAGAGAAGGAACGCAGAGAGCCAATATTGTCATGACATGATATAGTCAAGAAGAGTTACAATTTCCACTTCTACGGGAAGTGGAAATTGCATATCAATTTCAAGTATATTTCCTTTAAATTTTTTTCGTTGTGTGATTTGTCGGATTTGGAATTCTATTGGAAACGTCAATAAAGTAGAGCACGATACTTATTTTGGCGCGGTGAGTCTTGATTCTAAAGCGAGGCAATGCGGGTCCGAGTCAAAGACCATTGACCCTAGTTGCATACCTAGAACCACCGTTGCATTTAACGAAAACAACATATTCCCATCCGATGTTTAACGAAATCTTAAGTTGATATTCTTAGTTGCATTTAATTCTTATTCACACCCTAAAACTAACGTTGTTTCCTTTATTTTAATAGATTTTTAACTTTTTATTATAGCACAACGCATGTTAGCACGCTAAAATGCTCCGACGCTTTCTTTGGCAGAAGACGGTTCATGTTAGCAAAAAAGGCTCACGTTAGCAATGTCCAAGCTGACGGTTTTTGGCTTTTTCCGATTGATTCCAAATTCCAAAATTATTTTCGAGACCACCGTTGGACTCCCCACAACCTCCTTTACCAAATCCATACCTTCACTTGCCGACCTAACTCACTGTTTTTTACCACCTCCAACAGCTACTAACAATGTTAGTTTAAGGGGAGGAATCTATAATAAATGTAAATAAGGGTATCAACTTGAAATTTCGCTAAACCCTGGGTGGGAATATTCATTTACTATTTTCAAAATTACATTCTGGTTGCGTTTGGTTCGGGTGATATAAGATTAATCATGTAATCTTTGTTTAATTTTCAAGATTCCTCGTTTAGTCTTCAAGTAATAAAATATTACGTAATCTCTTATTGTAAATAGTGTTTACTGTTGGTAATATTGAGGGTAATCAGATTATCTTCCCAATGGGTGTTAATATAAGATTATCGAGGTAATCTTAATTTCGACTTTATTTTGCCCTTAATCTTTTATCATTTCGGATATATTTGCCTTCATATGTCTACCAAATAACAATTACGGAGACCCTCTACATTTAAAAATATAGCTAAAACACCCCGGCCACAAAAAAATTAAAGTTAACAAAATACCCCCAGCCACCCAAGACCATCGCCAGCCGCTAGCCACCACCACTGGCCGCCGGCAAAAGTCATCATATCGAGGCAAGATCAGTGGGATCTTGCATGTCGTGTGCTGATAAAGACGTTTCTAGCCATGGATTTGTGATCCATGGCCGAAAACGATCAGATGTCGTCGTTTCACGACCAAAGATCTAGCCTTTTCATGGCCAGATCGATGGCTATTTCACAACCACATCTTTGACCGTGAAACAGCCATATTCACGACCAAATCTAGTCGTTTTAGATCCATGGCCGGATTAGGCTTTACTGACTCACAACCAGCCAGATATGGTCGATCGTGCACCATTACGGTGGTTGCCGGCGGTGGTGGTTGGCTGCCGGTAGTGGCTTGGGGTGATTTTGCTATAAATTATATATTTATATGGTTGGGGTGTTTTAGCAAAATTATAAATATAGGGAGTTAAAAGAAATAATTTAAAAAATAAAATAATAAAATAGTAATATATTATTATTTAAAAAGGAGGTCAATTTAGTAATCTACATAACATACCCACTCATTTATCCTTTCAACCAAACATATTATTAGAACATACCCACCAATTTATTCCAACCAACCAAATACATTTCTCTAAAAATTTTATGATAATCTATCTTTCCAGTAATACAACATTCTCTGAACCAAACGCACCTTCTAGTAAATATCATTTGAATCAATTTGTCAAGCCTTATTTTAGTATTTTACTGACTTAGATTAATGAAATACTAGGAATTATTTTTTCTAAATCTCCAATTCTCAATCAGTTTCTCACTTTCCTGTCAAGTGTCAACCCACGTACAAAACTGATAACAAAACTTATTCTTATTATTTTTTATATAATTAAAGAGAATATAAAACAAGAGTGACTTACCAAAAATTGGGCATAATTATTGGGGCTTTAGAGAGCTTTACCACAGAGTAATTCCATAAAATGAAAAGACTGAAAAACTCAATTAACTTTGTCCCATTAATAATGTTAATAATGGTAAAAACCTACATCATAAAGTAAATCCGGCAACAGATAAGTAAAACATTTGTCCATTAATTCAGACAACAACAATTTCATTGAGTGGCCCGAGATTAAGCCAAGAAAGTTGACAGAATATTCAAAGAGAAATAAGAACCGAACTATCTCAAGGTTCACAGAACAGAATAATAATGTACACCGAATTGTAATGTAAATATAGGCATACTTTAATGTCTGTTGATTATGCTTTTCTCATAATCACTTCCATTACCAGAAATGCAGAGAAGCGGATAAATAGAATGTATCTACAGCTGAGACTAAATATCCTGTCAACCAAAGGTGGTGATGTATAAGATCAAGTTGGGGCCTTTTCTTTTCTTTTAATATTATTCCTTTTGGGTTTGACATGAGTACATAAGATGGTATAAAACCATAGCTGAAAAAAATCATGTTAAAGACCTTTTCGGATTCGGTTATACCCCCGGTTTAACAGAAAAAAAAAATGAGATTAAAGATTTAACAAAATATATATAGTATATAATAAAGAACAATATCTTTCATTAATTTTCTTCTTTGAAAACGAAATCTGGAGGATACATGGATATGGCGTTGTATGAATCCGAAATTCTGAGTCCTGAAAGCTATTTCATTAATTTTCTGTTAAACCCTCACAATTAACCACAGCAGTTCTTACAAGCTAAGCTAATTAGTAAGTCAGTAAAAAGCCATATGCATCATATATTTCAAAGTTGGTCAAACAAGGTCAAAGCAACAAAAAGTTTGGGGGGCAAGAGGATTGGAGCAAGCATCGTTTGCTTATTGGAATGAAGCATATGGTGGGTTAATTAATGGAAAACAGCATTGAATAGATGTTGTGCATGAATTAACAGTAGTAAGGTTAAAGGAGAGGAAATTACTCTGATGAGACGTGTGTGAGAACGGTCGATTGCTTGGAGCTCTCTAGCGGGCAAGCACGGAGCAAAGCGGCTTCTAATGCTGATACGCATGATACATGTCTTCCGAGGAGACTGGGCCGCTTGTTCAAGTTGTGATCTATCGCTGCTTGTTGAGCCATCAGTGTTGCTTCTATCTTTATGAATGAATTCCCAGAGAATATCAACATTAATCAGTTAATACCTAAATTTAATATACGAGCGAAATACAAGGTACCTGCAAACGATTTCTCTTCAACTCAGTGTCAGTGAGCTGCGCTTCGATTATGAGTCGTTGCCGTCTGGCAAGGTTACTTTTGGTTTTATGCTATATACTGCAGTTCACTTCTGATCGGGTCGGGTTTAAGACAAGGATCCGACACCACAAGTCACACCGATATTGCTTCACTCAATTTCACATATTACTTTTTTTTTTTTTTTTTTTTTTTTTTTTTTTTTTGTGGTGAAGTACAAACAGTCAATGAGGTAAACTGTTCTGTAGATTGACCCTCGGGCCTAAGTTTTAGAAGTAAAGAATCACCAGGTTTCGCTCGTTGGTGATATAAAATTTTGTGTTTAACATTCAATTTGTGGAAAAAAAAAAATAAAAAAATTACCCCTAATCTTTTCTGGGCTTAATTTGTGACGAATGATATGGAATCTGCTATCAATCCCAGCGAAGTGAACCATAAAACATCACAAGGCGAACCTTATACTGTATGTGAAATAATTATTCATATGACAGTCCATGATATAAGAAATTCTACATGACATTGACATAACTCGTTTGCAATATTTAAAAATGATTGAAATGAATTATAAGTATACAATATGGTTCTTTTACAGTTCAAACTTCTAAACCGAATTGGGCATGATCTTCCTTGAAACTGGAAAATTTTAAGTTATCCCTCATGAGTATAGAGAATTTAGCATGAACAACATAACGCATCCGAATCTGTTCTACATTATACACTATGTACTCGTTATGCCTGCATGCAACCTGCAAGAAACATTAAATTACGTATTCAATTATATCTTAAACACTTGAATTATCTTCCACTTATTCCATTTACAATCCAAAGAAAATTGAAACTCAAAATTGGAAAAAAGAGATATAAAAGAATAAAAGTGTTGTACCATGGGATAAGATTGCTCTGGGAATCCAAGTGGAACAATACACCATCTTCCAGAACCTGTTGCTTCTGATAAGTCGGGTGCAATTTACCAACTCCTTTTGTGCTGCAATATTTAATTACCAATGATAAACAGTTTAAAATGTACGAAAGTGCAATTAGTTGTTGTAAACTTATCAAAAAGGAAAACGGGCATTAGTTTTAAGTAGAGATGACGTGAGCTCTCCTTCTAGCTGCAATTTGAATCGGCTGTCAGTAATCATTAGAAAGTTTACTTAGCAGCCACATAAGTAATTAAGTATGATGCAAGGAAGAGAATAAGATTTGACATACACTATGGAAACTCAGATCCTTAATCCAATTTCCCAAATCGTCTAAATTTGTCAAGAACAAGAAAAGAAAAAGAAAAAAAACGCAGAAAGTAAAATAATAGAAGCGACCTGCGTTTTATTTTTGTCCAGTGAAGAAAACCAAAATGATTTAGAGCATAAGAAAATAACCTGAGCTTTCCCTTAGGTAACTTGTCAGCGTTGCAATCCAAAGTCAGAAGCTCGTTCATATCACCCAGTGCAACCTGGATAAAAGAAGGGAATAGATCAATCCTTTCGCGGACATAACATTTTAGAAGAAGAAATCCAGAATATTGATAAAACACGGCTAAAATAAACAAAGCTATCTTTACAGGAAGAACAAACCTCACACAAAAGTAACACAGCATCTGGAGATTTGCTGTTTGCCCCAAATAACCCAACTTCTGGAAAACATATCGGAAAAATAAACACCTTCCCAAAATCACAACCTGATACAGGTGCCTCTGGAGGAGCAATCCGTAAACCTCTGTCTTAGAATATGGCCTTTATGGTTAGTTGAGCCAGTATAATGTGATATTCAATCAAACTTGCTCAAATAGGATAACCTTGTGATAATATGCCAGCCCAGTTGTCAGTCGAGAACCATGCCCCAAAAGCATTCTATTTTTGTGCCAGAGAACTGCATAAGAGAGTTCACAAAACTGAAAATATTAGAATTTGAATGGAAAAAGCAAGAATAGGAGGAAAAAATCTGTATTAGAAAGATGATAGCCGTGGGACAATGAATTTTCACCTTTTCAAAACGTTCACTTTCACCTTGCCTCGAAGCCCTAAATATATTATTAATTTAAGATACTTCTGGTCAGTGTTCTGTAGATATGTCTTAATCTGCAGAAGAAACAAAATTTTAGTTTCAACTTCTATTACGCAATAAGAAACTAAACTAATAGACCATATGGATAGTGAGATACCATGGAGTATTCTTTGGACTCACTTCAATTGGTTAAGCTCACATTGAAGGCATTGATACCATGAATACAGTGGATCTTCCTGGAAAATCAATGAAGTATATTAGTTAACCGTAAAAAAGTAAAAAAAAAAGAACAACAAGGAATTTGTCTATTATTCATAAACGACCTGCCGATGGGCAGTGGCCGCATACTTTGTGTCCAGTAGAAGAACAGAGTAAACACATTCTTTACTATATATAGATAGTAGTAAAGAGTTGAATCACTTCATTTTTATTTAATTTTTTTGCAATTATAACTTTTCACTAGAATACAAACTGGGTTAAAATGGCCATCCAAAGATTAATATCCAAAAAACGTTCTATTGGAGCAGACAGCAGTAAAGGTTATGGCTCAAGAATATTTGATTTCAGAATTTGAACTGATTGCAAAAAAATTTACAAGAAATTTGGAATTTGCATCTGTTATTTAGAGACTTATGAAAAGACATATATGGGAAGTAGTAAATACATGCCTAAGTTGCCTACACAAACAATGCGATGAAGGTATTAATAGAAAGCCACACCTTTGCAATATATCCTTCGTCAATGATGTGCATTGTACCTAGTTTGCACAAAGAATATATCAAACAATCAAAATTACTGAAGTAATAGACAACATCTGTATCAAAAAGATTGGGTCAACAGCTTATAAATAGGACGGCTAAGTAGATAGCTTATTTTTTAGTAGCACTAATTTTTGTCACTTCTGAAAGAAATTCCTAATATTCTGTAGAAAATTTACTGACCGAAGCCCATGATTTGTTGCTTCATCATGTTGTATTGCGAATAAGAGACATAAAATTTGCAATTCGAGGATCAAGTTTTGACAACTGAATCTTCGTCACAGAATTAGGCATATCCTGAACCTGATACTTAAATAAATTATTAGGACAGGACCATGCTGTTGATTAAAACAAAAACATGATATTATTAATTTGCTTACATGCTCCAAAACGTGGTACTCTGCCTTTATGTGATCCAATACTTCACTGTATTCCGTGTTAGTTATAACTTGCTTCTTCCCCTTTATGTCCACGTCTTTTTCTCCTTTGTCTGATAAACGAAATTCGATTCAATCTATCGGCAAATTCTAACATGAATTGAATAACATCCGATACCTTCAGACTCAGAGCAGCTCTTTAAATTTTTCCACGAGTCCGTGAATTTCTTCTTGAACAGTTTCCTGAAATTCCTTTAGAATGCTTGGCGTGGAGCTGTCCATTTGAATCTTCAAATATCAACTGTGATGAATCTTATGTAGCAATGAACATCTTATTTGATCATTTCTATAGGAAGTTGAACTTTTTTTTTTCGGTAGTTTCTTAATTTAATTATATTTTTATCTTATGTAATCTTAATTGAATTATGGTCATGGCATGAATACAAGTGACAATGAAAATTATTGCCTAATATGATAGGAAGAGGAGGAAAACACAACATATGTTAAGTGTCACTTTATTTTGTGTAAGACTGCATAGTTGTCTTTCCTTTATCGTTCTTCGATGAACAAATTTGGTGCAAATTTATAATACACCTTCATCTGACCTTGGATGTAATTATTTATTTGTTATGTGTCAGGTAAAAAACGAAAAGAGCAACATGATGCTAATCAAGCTGGAATGGGTCTGAATCCTGCATATGCAGGTGCCTATGGTGCAACACCTCCGGTAAGTGTCTTGATTGTCCTGGGAACAGAATGCATTTGAGTGGAATTTTGTTTTTAATTGACTTCAATGACTTTGCATCTATGTGCTTGTTTGCTAAAGGTATAGTTATTGGTTTATCATGGCCAAATCAATACACTAGACTGAAACTATTATTGCATTTCAAGAATTTGATCATTTACTATGAAGCTACCAATACTTGAATTTCAATTGGAAAAACAAAAGGAGGGAGGCTAAAATGTAGAAGCAAAGTAATTAAATGAGCTTAATTCGGAGAAAGAGAGAAAATACTTTTATTTAATCTACATTAAGTCCACTTTTTGGAACCGCTGGAAAACATGGTCTTAATTATTCTTAGATATCCAATCAGGGTAGCCTAGGAAAAATGACTCTCTTTCAATATTCTGACATTACATACAGAAGTATAGTTGGTTCCCTGATTCTGTGGAAATTTATATCTAATTGTTCTTCCTATGATACTAATCATTTATCTCTTTCCAAAATGATGCAGCTATCACAAATACCGTATCCAGGAGGTGCAAAATCTGTGGTTCCAGAGGCTCCAGCTCCGCCAAATAACATACTATTTGTTCAGAATGTTCCCCATGACACAACTCCAATGGCACTGCAAATGTTCTTCCTCCAGTTCCCTGGTTTTAAGGAGGTTAGGATGGTGGAAGCAAAGCCAGGGATTGCCTTTGTGGAATATGGAGACGAGATGCAAGCAACGGTAGCTATGCAGGGACTCCAAGGCTTGAAGATCGGCCAACAGAACTTGTTGATTTCCTATGCCAAAAAGTAGAAGTGGTGCTTCTGTTGATTACCTCTACTAATTGTTGTTACCTTGCAGGCATTTAACCTACAATATTATCAATCTAGTTAGATGTCATGCCTGCTAGTCTGCAGTTATCCCGTTAAATTCTCAGTTTCCTGGAAGCCCAAGTGTATTAGATGTATGATTATGACTGCCATGAATTTTTCTGCACTTTTTTCACTCCCAAAATGTTTAATTAGCTTAGTAGTTTGAACGACATGAAGTTCGGTGTATGTATTGCTGTAAAACTATTTAGCCTGGTAATATTTATATTTTGTTTGATGGAATTGAGTTTTTATGCTTTTACACGTGCTGAACATAAGCAGCTATCTCTGATATGAGTAGTCCATTACTGGCTTGTGGCTAGTCATAATTCTTTTCGCTGTGAACTGAATTTAACAATAGTCCTGAACCTGCCCGCTGGCCCCTAGCCCCTTTGGCCCAAACCTTCTTGGTTGAGCCGTTGAGGTTGATTTCACTCAGTAGCGAGGTTGACCTCAGGAGTGCGACATAATTGAATTGAACCAACACTTCATATCGCATAACTTGATCCGTAGTAGAATAGCAATTTGAAATCCAAGTGACGTCTAACATAATTGAACCAATACTTTCTACAAGGTTACACACATACGTCGTTGTAAATATCGCGACAGAAGCAAGCAAGCTCTCAATAATGAGAGGCATGCATGATCCCACCCTAAATGATAAATAACAAACCTTTTTTGTTTCTCTACTACAGTAAGAGATGCATGAAATTCTTTATCACTAACTATACCCTCTCCAACTCAGTTTTGTGTTTATTCAATTGGTCCTTCAACTCATTCCTCCATCCTTGAATGAGTCTCTCCTGTTTATTGATTATCTCGTTTTTAGTCTTCAATTCTTCTTCCATCATAGCAATCTCCTGTTAAAACAAGGGAAATACTTCATCAAGGTCCCCAATGATCCCTGAGTATCAACAATATCAAATGCAGTGTGGTTTGTAGGTCACCTTTCTAAGTATTTCAGTCTTTGTCGGCTGATCCTCCCGTTGCAGACTAGTAAAATACAGTTGTAGCTTCTTGGCAGCCTCCATAAAATCTCTAGCGTGCCTCTCCACATCAACTAAAACAATTACGAAACAAGAAAAATCTCTTATACATGGCTTACATTAGTAAACATTATGCATTCCAATTAATATACACTTCAATGTAATATTCAAATTAGTTCATATTCATTGAGCGATACACATAGTAATTCCATAAAAGACTGAAAAACTCAATTAACTTTGTCCCATTAATAATGTTAATAATGGTAAAAACCTACATCATAAAGTAAATCCGGCAACAGATAAGTAAAACATTTGTCCATTAATTCAGACAACAACAATTTCATTGAGTGGCCCGAGATTAAGCCAAGAAAGTTGACAGAATATTCAAAAGAGAACTAAGAACCGAACTATCTCAAGGTTCACGAGAAACAGAATAATAATGGTACACCGTAATTGTAATGTTAAATTATAGGCATACTTTAATGTCTGTTGATTATGCTTTTCTCATAATCACTTCCATTACCAGAAATGCAAGAGAAGCGGATAAATAAGAATGTTATCTACAGCTGAGACTAAATTCACTCCTGTCAACCAAAGGTGGTGATGTATAAGATCACAGTTGGGGCCTTTTCTTTTCTTTTAATATTATTCCTTTTGGGTTTGACATGAGTACATAAGATGGTATCATAAACCATAGCTGAAAAAAATCATGTTAAAGACCTTTTCGGATTCGGTTATACCCCCAGGTTTAACAGACAAAAAAAAAATGAGATTCAAAGATTTAACAAAATATATATATGTATATATATAAAGAACAATATCTTTCATTAATTTTCATTCTTTGAAAACGAAATCTGGAGGATACATGGATATGGGCGTTGTCTATGAATCCGAAATTCTGAGTCCTGAAAGCTATTTCATTAATTTTCTGTTAAACCCTCACAATTAACCACAGCAGTTCTTACAAGCTAAGCTAATTAGTAAGTCAGTAAAAAGCCATATGCATCATATATTTCAAACTTTCAAAGTTTGGTCAAACAAGGTCAAAGCAACAAAAAGTTTGGGGGTGCAAGAGGATTTGGAGCAAGCATCGTTTGCTTATTGGAATGAAGCATGTGGTGGGTTAATTAATGGAAAACAGCATTGAATAGATGTTGTGCATGAATTAACAGTAGTAGGTTAAAGGAGAGGAAATATTACTCTGATGAGACGGATGTGGAGAACGGTCGATTGCTTGGAGCTCTCTAGCGGGCAAGCACGGAAGCAAAGCGGCTTCTAATGCTGATACGCATGATATCATGTCTTCTCGAGGAGACTGGGCCGCTTGTTCAAGTTGTTGATCTATCGCTGCTTGTTGAGCCATCAGATGTTGCTTCTATCTTTATGAAAATGAATTCCCAGAGAATATCAACATTTAATCAGTTAATACCTAAATTTAACTATACGAGCGAAATACAAAGGTACCTGCAAACGATTTCTCTTCAACTCAGTGTCAGTGAGCTGCGCTTCGATTATGAGTCGTTGCCGTCTGGCAAGGTTACTTTTGCGTTTTTATGCTATATACTGCAGTTCACTTCTGATCGGGTCGGGTTTAAGACAAGGATCCGACACCACAAGTCACACCGATATTGCTTCACTCAATTTCACATATTACCTTTTTTTATTTATTTTTTTTGTGTGAAGTACAAACAGTACAATGAGGTAAACTGTTCTGTAGATTGACCCTCGGGCCTAAGTTTTAGAAGTAAAGAATCACCAGGTTTCGCTCGTTGGTGATATAAAATTTTGTGTTTAACAATTCAATTTGTGGAAAAATAAATAAAAAAAAAATTACCCCTATTATCTTTTCTGGGCTTAATTTGTGACGAATTGATATGGAATCTGCTATCAATCCCAGCGAAGTGAACCATAAAACATCACAAGGCGAACCTTATACTGTATGTGAAATAATATATTCATTAATGACAGTCCATGATATAAGAAATTCTACATGACATTGACATAACTCGTTTGCAATATTTAAAAATGATTGAAATGACTTCATAAGTATACAATATGGTTTTACTTTTACAGTTCAAACTTCTAAACCGAATTGGGCATGATCTTCCTTGAAACTGGAAAATTTTTAAGTTTATCCCTCATGAGTATAGCAGAATTTAGCATGAACAACATAACGCATCCGAATCTGTTCTACATTATACACTATGTACTCGTTATGCCTGCATGCAACCTGCAAGAAACATTTAAATTACGTATTCAATTTATATCTTAAACACTTTGAATTATCTTCCACTTATTTCCATTTACAATCCAAAGAAAATTGAAACTCAAAATTGGAAAAATGAGATATAAAAGAATAATAAAGTGTTGTACCATGGGATAAGATTGCTCTTTGGGCAATCCAAGTGGAACAATGACACCATCTTCCAGAACCTGTGCTTCTGATAAGTCGGGTGCAATTTTACCAACTCCTTTTGTGCTGCAATATTTAATTAACCAATGGTAAACAGTTTAAAAATGTACAGAAAGTGCAATTAGTTGTTGTAAACTTATCAAAAAGGAAAACACGGCATTAGTTTTAAGTAGAGATGACCGTGAGCTCTCCTTCTAGCTGCAATTTGAACTCGGCTGTCAGTATATCATTAGAAAGTTTTCTGACTTAGCAGCCACAATAAGTAATTAAGTATGATGCAAGGAAGAGAATAAGATTTGACATACAACTATGGAAACTCAGATCCTTAATCCAATTTCCCAAATCGTCTAAATTTTAGTCAAGAGCAAAAGAAAAAGAAAAAAAACGCAGAAAGTAAAATAATAGAAGCGACCTGCGTTTTATTTATGTCCAGTGAAGAAAACCAAAAATGATTTAGAGCATAAGAAATAACCTGAGCTTTCCCTTAGGTAACTTGTCAGCGTTGCAATCCAAAGTCAGAAGCTCGTTCATATCACCCAGTGCAACCTGGATAAAAGAAGGGAATAAGATCAATTCCTTTCGCGGACATAACATTTTAGAAGAAGAAATCCAGAATCATTGATAAAACACGGCTAAAATAAACAAAGCTATCTTTACAGGAAGAACAAACCTCACACAAAAGTAACACAGCATCTGGAGATTTGCTGTTTGCCCCACAATAACCCACACTTCTGGAAAACATATCGGAAAAATAAACACCCTTCCCAAAATCACAACCTGATACAGGTGCCTCTGGAGGAGCAATCCGTAAACCTGCTCTTAGAATATGGCCTTTTATGGTTAGTTGAGCTAAGTGTAATGTGATATTCAATCAAACTTGCTCAAATAGGATAACCTTGTGATAATATGCCAGCCCAGTTTGTCAGTCGAGAACCATGCCACAAAAGCATTCTATTTTTTGTGCCAGAGAACTGCATAAGAAGAGTTCACAAAACTTGAAAATATTAGAATTTGAATGGAAAAAGCAAGAATAGGAGGAAAAAAACTTGTATTAGAAAGAATGATAGCCGTTGGGACAATGAATTTTCACCTTTTCAAAACGTTCACTTTCACCTTGCCTCGAAGCCCTAAATATATTATTAAGTTTATAAGATAATTCTGTGCCAGTGTTCTGTAGATATGTCTTAATCTGCAAGAAGAAACAAAATTTTAGTTTCAACTTCTTATTACGCAATTAAAGAGACTAAACTAATTAGACCATATGGATAGTGAGATACCATGGAGTATTCTTTGGACTCAGCTTCAATTGGTTCAAGTTCACATTGAAGGCATTGATACCATGAATACAGTGGATCTTCCTGGAAAATCAATGAAGTATATTAGTTAACCGTAACAAGAAGGAATTTGTCTATTATTCATAAACGACCTGCCGATGGGCAGTGGCCGCATACTATGTGTCCAGCTAGAAGAAGAGAGATCAAATTGTCTAAACACATTCTTTACTATTAAGTACTTTTTGTCCTATCACTATATATAGTAGTAGTAAAGAGTTGAATCACTTCATTTTTATTTAATTTTTTTGCAATTAAAACTTTTCACTAGAATACAAACTGGGTTAAAATGGCCATCCAAAGATTAATCATCCAAACAACAGTTCTATTGGAGCATGACACCAGTAAAGGTTATGGCTCAAGAATATTTGATTTCAGAATTTGAACTGATTGCAAAAAAATTTACAATGAAATTTGGAATTTGCATCTGTTATTTAGAGACTTATGAAAAGACATATATGGGAAGTAGTAAATACATGCCTAAGTTGCCTACACAAACAATGCGATGAAGAGTATTAATAGAAAGCCAACCTTTGCATATATATCCTTCATCAATGATGTTGCATTGTACCCTAGTTTGCACAAAAGAATATATCAAACAATCAAAATTACTGAAGTAATGGACAACATCTGTATCAAAAAGATTGGGTCAACAGCTTATAAATAGGACGGTCTAAGTAGATATGCTTATTTTTTAGTAGTCAGCAACTAATTTTTGTCGACTTCTGAAAGAAATTCCTAATATTCTGTAGAAAATTTACTGACCGAAGCCCATGATTTGTTGCTTCATCATGTTGTTATTGCGAATAAGAGACATAAAATTTGCAATTCGAGGATCAAGTTTTGACAACTGAATCTTCGTCACAGAATTAGGCATATCCTGAACCTGATACTTAGAATAAATTATTAGGACAGGACCATGCTGTTGATTAAACAAAAACATGACTTATTATTAATTTGCTTACATGCTCCAAAACGTGGTACTCTGCCTTTATGTGATCCAATACTTCACTGTATTCCGTGTTAGTTATAACTTGCTTCTTCCCCTTTATGTCCACGTCTTTTTCTCCTTTGTCTGATAAACGAAATTCGATTCAATCTATCGGTAAATTCTAACACTGAATTGAATAAACATCCGATACCTTCAGACTCAGAGCAGCTCTTTAAATTTTTCCACGAGTCCGTAAGAAGTTCTTTCTTTGAACAGTTTCCTGAAATTCCTTTTAGAACTGCTTGGCGTTGGAGGCTGTCCATTTGTTGAAGAACCTCAACGGCTCTGATTTTCTCGGATTCGTTCGGATCATTAAATCTGGAGTCTCTTTGCCTCTGCTCACCAACTGACGCATCAAGTGAAGAAATGTTTTCTTCGTTAAGATGCGATTTCAACCTTTTATCCTGCAAAGGCATTGATTAATTCTGAATAAGTTCAACATAGTTAGTAAGAAAAAACAATGAGTAATCGTATTACCAGAGTGTATTTGGGACCAGTGGTGCTTAGACCATATTTGGATGACTCTACTGGAAGGTCATGTACTTTAGGCTTCTCGGCCATCTGATTGTCAAAGAGATGAAATCTTAATGAGAGAATGTGTCTTGAATTTCACCGTTTGAAGAACTGGAATGGAGGGAAGCGCTGAGGGAGCCAAAAACAAGTAACAGGTATTTATAATTTTAACTTTCTTTCTCGAAAGCTTCAAATAGAAGGAACGCAGAGAGCCGTTATTGTCATGACATGATAGAGTCAAGAAGAGTTACAATTTCCACTTCTACGGGAAGTGGAAATTGCACATCAATTTCAAGTATATTTCCTTTAAATTTTTTTCGTTGTGTGATTTGTCGGATTTGGAATTCTACTGGAAACGTCAATAAGTAGAGCACGATACTTATTTTGGCGCGGTGAGTCTTGATTCTAAAACGAGGCAACGCGGGTCCGAGTCTAAGACCATTGACCGGGGTTTGTACACTGACTGGTCGTGAACAAACACAAACACATATTTGTTGATGTGTATATATGTGGCCCATAAACATTTATTTTTTCTTTTTATGACTTAGAGGTCATCAATTTTGAAAAATATAATTTTTAATCAGAATAAAAAAAATTATATAAGTTAACTATTTCTTAAAACTGATTTTAATATAATAGACCTTTTCAAATATTTTCAAAAGAGCAAACACCATATTCAAATTCGAGGTTTAGCGAAATCTTAAGTTGATATTTCTAATTGCATTTAATTCAAAATCACACCCTTAAACTAGCGTTGTTTAATTTATTTTAACAGATTTTCAACTTTTTATTATAGCGTAACGCATGTTAACACGCTAAAGTGTTCTGACGCTTTCTTTGGCAGAAGACGAGCTCATGTTAGCAAAAAAGGCTTACATTAGCAACGTCCAAGCCGACAGTTTTTTGGCTTTTTCTGATCGATTCCGAAGTCCAAAATCACTTTCGAGACCACCATTGGACTCCCCACAACCTCCTTTACCAAATCCAAACTTTCACTTACCAACCTAACTCATTGTTTTTTACCACCTCCAATAGTTAATAACGGTGTTAGTTTAAGGAAGGAATCTATAATAAATGCAACTAAGGGTATCAACTTGAGATTTCACTAAACCCTGGGTGGGACTACTAATTTACTATTTCAAAATTACATTCTGATTGTGTTTGGTTCGGGGTGATATAAGATTAATCCTATAATCTTTGTTTAATTTTCAAGATTCCCTCGTTTAGTTGTCAAGTAATAAAATATTACGTAATCTCTTATTGCAAATAGTATTTACTATTGGTAATATTAAGGATAATCATATTATCTTCCCAAGGGGTGTTAATATAAGATTACCGAGGTAATCTTGATTTTGACTCTATTTTGCCTTTAATCTTTTATCATTTCGGACACATTTGCCTTCATATGTCTACCAAATAACAATTACCTAGACCCCTTACATTTGAAAATATAGCTAAAACACCTCGGATACAAAAAAGTTTAAAAGTTAACAAAATACCCCTAGCCACCTAAGACCGTCGCCGGCCGCTAGCCACCATCGCTGGCCGTCGGCGAAAGTCATCATATCGAGGCAAGACCGATGGGATCTTGTCGATCGTGTACTGGTAAAGACGTTTCTGGCCATAAATTTGTGATCCATGGCCGAAAATGACCAGATCTGGCTGTTTCACGACCAAAGATGTGGCAATGAAACGCCATAGATCTGGCCGTGAAATGGCCGCCCTTTCACGGCCAAAGATCTGGCATTTTCATGTCCAGATATGTGGCTGTTTCACAACCACATCTTTGGCCATGAAATAACCATATTCACGGCTAGATCTGGCCGTTTATGGCCATGGATCTTTGATCCATGGTCGGATTAGGCCTTATCAGTACACGACCAGCCAGATCCGGCCGGTCTTGCGCCATTATGGCGACTGTCGATGGTGGTGGCTAGCTGCCGGTAGTGGCTTGGGGTAATTTTGCTACAAATTAAAGTTTTATATGGCTGAGGTGTTTTAGCAAAATTACAAATATAGGGGGTTAAAAGAAATAATTTAAAAAATAATAGAACAAAATATTATTATATTATTATTTAAAAAGAAGGCCAATTTAGTAATCTATATAACATATCCACTCATTTATCCTTCCAATCAAACATATTATTATAATATACCCATCATTTTATTCAACCCAATCAAACACATTTATTTAAAGATTCTCTGATAATCTATATTTTCAGTAATACAACATTTCCCTATAATATAATATTTCCTGAACTAAACGCACCCGCTAGTAAATATCATTTGAATCAATTTGTCAAGTCTTATTTTAGTATTTTACAGACTTAGATTAATGAAATACTAGGAATTATTTTTTCTAAATCTCCAATTCTGTATCAGTTTCTCACTTTCCTGTCAAGTGTCAACCCATGTACAAATCTGATAACAAAACTTATTCTTATTATTTTTTATATAATTAAAGAGAATATAAAACAAGAGAGACTTACATAAAATTAGGCATAATTATTGGAGCTTTAGAGAGAGCTTTGTTCCTTTTTATTTTTATTTTTTGTTTAATGATCAGGTGTCTAGATTAATTTACGCATATTTTAATTAATCTCTCAAGACTTTAGAACTATCGGTTAGGTAAGAGTTTCAGTGACTACCCCTATTAGCAATTGAAAAGAAATTCAAACTCAAAAGCTCTTGAATATTATACTAAAAAGTCCTTATCAAACTACTCGATTCTTATTTCTTTTCGCTGGATTCAGTGTGTAAAATACAATTGAGAAAGGTGGTGTATATTATATATAGAGATTTTCCACCGTCCCATCAATCAATCAATTTTCAATGAATAATACTACACATACAATATTTTCATACGATATTATGTGGTAAAAAATGAATGGGTGAAAGTTTCATTTCAATTCAAAATCAACCAATCATATTTTGACATATAATGTTGTATAAGAAATATTATATAAAATATTATATGTGTAGTATTACTCATTTCCAATTCATAATTTGATTAAGGCATTGAGCCAAGTTAAATATCCAAAACTGATACAGCCAAACTTTATTTAGAAAAGCAAACCAAAAGTGTTGGCTCCCAAATCACAATAATTTTTTATTTCTCACACATGTTAAGGGTGTCACAAATATATTGGGTTTTGAGAGCAAGTTTGTGATATTGGGTTTAAAATGTCCATTGCCCATTAACTTATTCTTTATAATATCAAATCGACGTGACGTGGTTTTTTGAATTTAAAATATTTTTAAAAAGCGCCAATTTCATTGCCAAAGCTTGCTGAGTAAGTTCCTTCCCAGAAAGGACTGCGTCCTCTCCCCACTTCACTTGTGGAACGCATATATAATATACCGTCCCTTCTCCCTTCCACTTCAAAATTGCAGCGTGATTTTTTCCCAGCGAAAGCTTCTCAAAACACATTCGCTCTTTTGTGCTTGGAATTAATAATCACAGAAAATAAATTGATGGCGAGTAATCTCAAAGTAGACCAGCTCCGAGCCAAGCTCGCCGAACGGGGACTCAGTACCGCGGGAACCAAGGCCATTTTGGTCAGTCCCTTTCAATTCGTAAGTTAATCTTACTTTTACAAGACTGCGACTTATGGTTAGTTATCTTGAGTGGTTACAGATACAGAGACTGGTTGGAACTATGGAAGAAGAAAAAAAGCGGTCAATGGGTAGCAAGAAGAGAGCAAGGGAGTGCAACGAGGAACAGTCAAATGAGTCGGAGAAAATAATGGCTATTGAGGATTTTCGACAAATGGGTGTTAAGCAATTACGCGAACAAGCTGATCTTCGAGGGTTACCCAAAACTGGGACCAAGAAAGAACTTCTTGAGAGGATTTGTAAAGATGTGGAGGAGAACGGCTCTAAGGACACTCTTCAAGGTATTTATTTATGATTCAATTGGTTCAGCAGTTGTGACCGTTCATTTTGTTACTTTTTTGCTGTTGTTTTGGCAGTTAAAGAAGAGGTAGATGATAGCAGTAAGGAGAAAATTTTAAAGGCAACCAAGAAGGGTGCTGCAGTCTTGGATCAGTGGCTTCCAGATCACTTAAAGACTCAGTATCATGTTTTTCAACAGGCAAGTCGTGTAGTTGCCATAGATGTTTTTAGTAGATTGATTGCAGGGCGTATTGTGGTGCCAAACGCATATTAATAATGGCAACTTTTTTATGTGTTTCTTTTATTTTTATTTTTGCTCCAATTTTTAGAATTAAATTTGAATTTGGTTTGTATGATGCAGGGCGATGATATCTATGATGCCATGTTAAATCAGACAAATGTTGGGAATAACAATAACAAGTTTTATGCGATACAACTTCTAGGTCATCTATCTATCAGCCCTATTTCTAGTGTTATCATCTTTCTATATGTTAGAAATATTATGGTCTATTAGGTTAGACTTGTGTTAATATGATGAAGGTTAAGTTTGATAACAATGATTACTGCAATATCCTGGAAACAAAATTGAAAAGGATTTATGCTAATTTAATTATGTTCACATTAATTTCTATCAAAATTATGGTCACATTAATACAATATATGTAAGACATTGACTTGGTTTTGTTGGATTAACTTTTCTTATAAACAAATGTGTGGATGCAGAATCTGATGGTGGTGGACAATACATGGTTTATAATAGATGGGGTAGAGTTGGCGTAAAGGGTCAAGATAAGTTATTTGGACCCTATAATTCGCAGGATGATGCAATTCATGAGTTTGAGCAAAAGTTCTTTGCCAAGACCCAGAACCATTGGATCGACCGAAAGAAGTTCAAATGTTACCCAAAATATTACACCTGGTTGGAGATGGACTATAGTGAAAAGGAAAACCAAGAATTAGTTGTGAGTTGTCTTTGCTCCAAAGCACAATAGTCAAATTCTTAGGAATATTTTTAGAAAATAATTACGATCCTTCTTCAGTGATAAGAGAAAGAAAAAGGAAACCCCATGGTGGAAGAGTAGCATTTCTGAATTATCATTATTTCTTTTCTATAATTCAATCTTGGCTTTTCCACATGCTTTTGAAAGTCACGTTTTCCTCTGTTATCTGAACTTCTAATAATGGTTATCAGGTCAATAATAAGCCTGACTCTGCTGTAAATATTCAACCTCGGGAAACAAAACTCGAGCCACATGTTGCAAAATTTATTTCTCTTATATGCAATATTAGCATGATGAAGCAGCAAATGATGGAAATAGGTTAGTTTGCTGATCATCTAATTTCTCTTAGAGCAGATTATATAAATTAAAAGCAACAAATATTGATTTGTTTATTTGAGTTATAAAAGCATTTTATTGTTTGTTTTACTTGATCTTTTAACCTCTTCTATCTATTGACATGCTTTTTGATTCCCTTGGTTACTGTGTTCAAAATAGTTGTTTTACATGTTGTATTGGCTTTCAGGTTACAATGCGAATAAGTTGCCACTTGGCAGGCTAAGCAAATCAACAATAGCGAAGGTAAGTGTTTGACTTATGAACAGTTTACTCTCCTCATTTTCTGTTCAGTTATGTAGTTTTAACAAAACATACATACTGATTATGATTTGCTTAAAGTGTAAATTTAAATGGAGGGAAATTATACCAAGAAGGATGGCCCACTAAAGATTCATCTAGCTTTTGTTAAATTTCTCTGTTCTGATTCCAAAGGTTTTATATTTACAACCTTCACATGGAAAAGAAAGATGTTATTTCTAGCAAAATAACTTTCTAGAATTAAGAATGCTGGATAAGTTAGCTTTAATCAAGCTAATTGTTGCTTGATATGTGATCATGTCTTGATGACTTTGTGATTGCATGGTTCCTGATATATGTCAATCTCATTTAGGTGTCACTTATCATATTTTTTGCTATTATATATTTTTTACTAAGATCTAAGATCAAGCATGCTATGTTGCATGTAGAAACACCTTTTTTTGTATTACAGTTTTTAATGTTTCAATGTCTTGTTACTGCTTTCTCATCTTTTTATTATTATTTTTTCTGCCATTATTTTGAGAAAAAAGACTGAAAAGTCAGCTAAACAATCAATTTAGCATTAAAAGTTGACTTAAGACTCATTCATTAATAACATCAACCCAATATACATGAGTTCCCTATTTTTCTGAATTTAATCAAAATTAATTGGCTCAATTTGATTACTTGTTATTGTAGGTTGCAATTAAATGCTGCAGGGTATAGTTGTTTACTCTCTTTCAGCAATACTTTGAGGGATACCTTATAAATTAATTTTCTTGGAATGTATGTAGGGTTATGATGTCTTGAAGAGGATAGCTGATGTGATTCACCAGCCAAATAGAAGTGAATTAGAGCAATTAAGTGGGTAAGAATTTGTCTGTGTAACTCGTATCGTTGGTATTTTACAAAGGAGCATTACTTTTAAAAGAGAAGACCTGGCTATGTATATGATATATAATTATGTATATGATATATAATGTTGATTATGCTTTTTTTTTTTTCCTTTGGCCAGTTTAAAATGCAATTTTTTAGCTTCGAGTAAGAATGGAATTGTGTTTTTAATCAACACCTTTTATTGCAGAGAATTCTACACTGTTATACCTCATGACTTTGGATTTAAGAAAATGCGTGAGTCCTCTTCTCACTCTCAAAATCACCTGATATGCTTGTGAAATGATACCTTTACAAACTCAGCATTTGGGTACTACAATTATGTGTTTTTGGAAAGAAGGAACATTACTGATTAGGCATATTAATTTTGGCAGGTGATTTTATCATTGACACTCCTCAGAAATTGAAACTGAAATTGCAAATGGTGATTATTTTTTTTTTATTTTTTTTTTTTTAACAGAACTGGTTTTCTTGCTTTCAAAACCTTACAGAGAAAGGTGGTTACTGAGGCTATGCTTGGGCTTTAGTTTTTCTTGTAACAACTTTAGTTTGTACATCTTTAAACTGTATTATTTTTAAAGTATTGTCTTTATACAGAACTGACTCTTGCTGCCCATCACTTAATATTCTTTAAATAGGGAACTTTATTTTGGTTTCTTTAATCTGGAAGAGCCATTTATTAGCTCCTTGTTTGTAATTGAAGGTTGAAGCCCTGGGTGAAATTGAAATTGCAACGAAGTTGTTGGAGGATGACAAATGTAATCAGGTATTGCTTATATTCTCTTCTTCGTTAGTATCTTCTGTCCTATTTGATTTTGATTTCATTCATGCAAGTTCAATGTGCCAATCTAAGTAATGACTGCATAGGCCAACACATCCTTTATAGTATAACCCTTCTTCTTCTTCTCTCTCTCTCTCTCTCTTAAAGAAACAATTGCACAGAAGGTGAAAAAGCTGTCTAGTAAACTTAGGGACTGCCTCAGAATATAAAAGTAAAAGCAGAAGAGCTTGAAAAAAGGACTCTTACTAGAGGAGAAAAAAACTGTTCTATTGACCTCTACGTTCTCTGTGGGCATATCTTAAACCACTTTTGGGATAAAAAATTCTTCTTTGTTTTATTTTTTAATTGGTGTTAATGTCATGGCAGCACTTGCATCTGGCAAATATACTTCAGTTNTTTTCCTTTGGCCAGTTTAAAATGCAATTTTTTAGCTTCGAGTAAGAATGGAATTGTGTTTTTAATCATCACCTTTTATTGCAGAGAATTCTACACTGTTATACCTCATGACTTTGGATTTAAGAAAATGCGTGAGTCCTCTTCTCACTCTCAAAATCACCTGATGTGCTTGTGAAATGATACCCTTACAAACTCAGCATTTGGATACTACAATTATGTGTATTTGGAAAGAAGGAACATTACTGATTAGGCATATTAATTTTGGCAGGTGATTTTATCATTGACACTCCTCAGAAATTGAAACTGAAATTGCAAATGGTGATTATTTTTTTTTTATTTTTTTTTTTTTAACAGAACTGGTTTTCTTGCTTTCAAAACCTTACAGAGAAAGGTGGTTTCTGAGGCTATGCTTGGGCTTTAGTTTTTCTTGTAACAACTTTAGTTTGTACATCTTTAAACTGTATTATTTTTGAAGTATTGTCTTAATACAGAACTGACTCTTGCTGCCCATCACTTAATATTCTTTAAATAGGGAACTTTATTTTGGTTTCTTTAATCTGGAAGAGTCATTTGTTAGCTCCTTGTTTGTAATTGAAGGTTGAAGCCCTGGGTGAAATTGAAATTGCAACGAAGTTGTTGGAGGATGACAAATGTACTCAGGTATTGCTTATATTCTCTTCTTCGTTAGTATCTTCTGTCCTATTTGATTTTGATTTCATTCATGCAAGTTCAATGTGCCAATCTAAGTAATGACTGCATAGGCCAACACATCCTTTATAGTATAACCCTTCTTCTTCTTCTCTCTCTCTCTCTCTCTTAAAGAAACAATTGCACAGAAGGTGAAAAAGCTGTCTAGTAAACTTAGGGACTGCCTCAGAATATAAAAGTAAAAGCAGAAGAGCTTGAAAAAAGGACTCTTACTAGAGGAGAAAAAAACTGTTCTATTGACCTCTATGTTCTCTGTGGGCATATCTTAAACCACTTTTGGGATAAAAAATTCTTCTTTGTTTTATTTTTTAATTGGTGTTAATGTCATGGCAGCACTTGCATCTGGCAAATATACTTCAGTTGCTTCTGCTGGATTCTCAATTATTCTAATTTAAGTTCCTGTAATTATAGGAAGATCCCCTGTATTCTCATTACCAGCGCCTTCATTGTCAGTTAATGCCAGTTGAAGCAGATTCTGAGGAATATTCTATAGTAAGTTTGAATACTAAAATTCAACTTCTGTTTAATTAGGGTATGGGTGGGGGCTGGGGCGTAGAGGGTTTGGCTACCATTTGATGTTACTTGGAAATCTTTTCATCTTAAATTTGATACCTATTCTATTTCAACTATGGTCAGATTGCAAAGTATATGCTTAACACTCATGCAAAAACACATTCCTCTTACACTGTCGACATTGTTCAAATATTCAAGGTAGTAAGAGAGGGTGAAGTTGAACGCTTCAAAATGGTGAGAGTTCTTCTGTATAGCTATGAAGTGTCACTGACATGTGAAATATTTCAGTTATGCAGATGATTACATGATTATACAAAGCTTTCAGAAGTTTTACAGTAGGCATTATACGCATAGTATCATTTAGCTGCTTTAATTCTTGTTAACAGTTCTCTCACTCAAAGAATAGGATGCTCTTATGGCATGGTTCTCGGCTCACAAATTGGACTGGCATTTTATCCCAAGGTCGTTACTTGTTGGCAGCTGTTGTTGCGGTTATTTTTCCAATATACTAACATGTGCATGTCTGTTTGTTCCTTGATATCTACAAAATATCTGAATGCAACTTGTATCATATAATATTGCCAGGTCTGCGTATTGCTCCACCTGAAGCACCTGTGACAGGCTACATGTTTGGAAAGGGGGTTTACTTTGCTGATATGTTCTCCAAAAGTGCAAATTACTGTTATGCTTCTCGTGCTGCTACTGCTGGTGTACTGCTTTTATGTGAGGTGTGTTTTTGTCTTGTAGAAATGTTGACCGATTATTTTTTAATGGAGAATATAACATGGCCACTTAGACGAAATGTAATGTGTTACATGTCACTAATGGGTAGATGTAGAGTAGAGATGAGAAGCAGACAGCTCTCATTGCACAACAATTTGAACTTCCTTAAACATTGATCTTGATCTACTTCAATGCCTAGATTTAAGTGTTGAGGAAGTGAAAAACTTGTCAACAATATTTTGACAGCCATGTGTTGGTTATAGTTGAATTTCCTTATGAAATTGTTGAACTGTACAGGTTGCACTTGGTGACATGGCAGAGCTTCTACATGCAAATTATGATGCTGATAAGTTACCAGAGGGAAAGCTAAGGTGTGTTTCCCTATTTTATTGATTGAATATAGGCAGGTATCAAGCTTATTTGAGTTGCTTCAACAAAGTAGAATTTGTTAATGGAGTATTTGACACTTGGAAGGTAACCTCAGTGTTTGCTGGTTTTGCGTAAATTGTGAAACTTCTTTTTAAGTTGTAGACTTCAGAAGAATTGGTGACCTATCTTCAATGAATTTGTAAATCTGGATGCATACATTCCAAATGTTTAAATTTAACATTGCCCATTAAATAAAAATAACCATCATCAACCACATATTGCTGATGCAATTTCCATGTGAATTTTGAATCTGGACTCTCTTTGGAAAGACAGAAACAATAAATATGCAGTCTTGTTTGAATGCCAAGAGCTATTATTATAGAAATGGGTGAAATTAACATGATTTGAATTTTGAATGTAATGTGCACAGCACAAAAGGAGTTGGTCAAACTGCACCAGATCCATCAGAAGCTCAGGCACTTAAGGATGGTATTGTTGTGCCGCTAGGAAAGCCGAAAGAGCAACTGAGCTCCAAGGTGCAGCACACAAGTATTAATAATATTTGTTTCTATGAATTATAAATTCTCAGTTGAGCATTAAATGTGATGTTTTATTTTTATTGTTGCAGGGTCAGTTATTTTACAATGAATATATTGTGTACAATGTGGATCAGATTAGGATGCGCTACGTGGTTCAAGTGAATTTCAAATATTAAAGTTGATTTTCCTTTTTCCGTTGTGGAAGAGATTATGCTTTCTATCCATATGGCTTATTAAAAAGTATGTATAGCAAATATTTATTGAGACTTAATTTTGCTTTATAATAATGTGCACTAAATTTTTTTTTTTTCTTCTTTTCAATAATTTGAATCATGTAAATTTGTGTGAGGGGCGTGGGTATTGCTTGGTCATATGAAGTTGCAAATATTATATTACACTAATAAAAAATTTAGAGTTAATTGATTTTAATTTTTATGTTGTACTTGTATATATTTTTTGTTATATATTGGCAAAAATAATTAAGTGAGATGCAATAAATATAAAGTCTCCAAGAATTGGAGAATTATAAAACAGGAAGTTAAAAAACCTTTAATTTTGGTAAATTCACTAAAACAAAATAAACAAGATTAACATCAAGGAGGAGCTCAGTAAATCAAACAATTATATGATGATTTAATATAATCCAGTTAAAATAGTCTTTAAAAATTGAAGAATTATAAACAAAGGCATATATATAATATATAGTATATAGATAAGTTAGTTATATTAAGTTGATTGTATTTATGCAGATAAAATTTTAAGAATTAGTCATTTTATATACGTGAGCAAACTAAATTACACTCTTTTGCTTACACATATATTTAAAAAAAATATTATTTGAATTAATTGTTTATATCAAGCATGACATTAATTTACCAAAACCAAAATACAAAATTAACATTAAGGAGGCCTAGAATTTCTCTAATTTAAAATCAATTAAAACGCGTAAACTAGAAAAACGTTTCAAAAAGGCGTAACAAACACATCAAATTTTATAACGTTATAAAAGCGCGTTTCATAAATCTGCCCGGCTTTCCAACCGCTATCCCAATTAAATCTGCCTGACTTTCCAACCCCGCGCTATCGCAATATAAATCTGCCTAACTTTGCATTGATAAGGAGGAATTGTTATCATTTTCAATTCGTTGTTTGTATCTTTGGTAAGGTTAGTGTTTATTCTTGCAATTCAATCTTGGTTTCAGATTGTTAGGGTTTATTCTTGCAATTTAATCTTGGTTTCAATCTGTTTTGATATGCGTTTTGAGATTTTCTGAAAAGAAAAGAATTTGAAATCGTAATGGCACCAAAGTGAAACTTCTGTTTTCTTTTCTTCTTTATACTCTTTTATATGATCTTCACTTATTGCAGAACGCTCTTTACGTTTATTTTAGGGTTATCACTGTTTAATGCTTTAATTATATCTTCGGTAAAGTTAGGGTTGATTCTTATAATTCAACGTGGTTTCAATTTGTTAGGGTTTCTATCTTTTTGATTTTTTTTGCTTTTAATTTTTTTTTTGAAAAGAAAAAAGTAATTTGTTACCGTAATGGTACAAAAGGTTTTTGATTATTTTACTCTTATGTGATAGTTCTTCTAATGAATACGTTTTATTGGGTTATAACATTTCATACTTTAATTGTTTCTACTTGTAAAATTAGGGTTTATTCTTGCAATTTAATTTGGATCTTAATGTGCTAGGGTGTTAATCTTTCTGAATTTTGTGCTTCAATTTTCCCAAATTGAAATGGTTTTTTTGTTTTTTGTATTTTGCTGGAGAAGTATTTAAAATGGTGAAGACTGGTATGAAAAGACAAATGGGTTTATTGCAATGTGAAGATTTGTCCCTTTTTTGTTTTCTTATTATATTCTCTGGTTTGTGAAATTATTCCAAATGAAAAATATTGTATTTTAGAAATTGAAATGTTTCTTAATTTCATACTTTTATACCATTTTTTATTTTTATTTTCTTGAAAGATGCTTTATTTGATGCCAAGCAAATGAGTTGTTTTGGAGCTCAAAATATAGTTCAACCAGATGTGAGAACTTGCTATGTTTGCTATTTTTCCTTGAGAAATGCTAAAAAAAAAACTAGGTGTGGCATCAATATGAATCATGTATATTTGCTGGTCTTTTACTTGTGGCATCAAAATATACTCATTTCACCTCAGCTTGTTTTTTGGATTTGGGTCCATAAACCATTGGTTTGTGTCTTGGCAAGTTTGCTAGTTTTGCAAAGTGAGCATTCGATTTTATAAGGTGCTTTTGTAATTAATGTCCCCTCTTTAGTTCATGAGATTTTTACGGAAAAGTAGAGATTGGTTCATATAATTTACTTTTTACAAACGTTGATGCTTTTAAGCCCTGTTTTGTTGACTAGTGGTGATTTATGAGTGGAATGTATCTACCCTCGGCTGTTTCAATATTTTTTTTTGGGATGGTTAAGTTTTTGATTTGTTCTAAAGATCACAACGATTTGAACCATTTTAGACAATGATTGTGATTCACTCTGATGCTTATTACTTTCTTATGTGGAAATATATTTTTGGTTGAACGCTAAGCTGTGGGTGAAAAGTAAAGTTGGTAGCAAAGTTGATGATTGAAATTGTTTATCTGTTTTTTGAATTTTGTCGGAGAAGTATTTGAAATGGTGAAGATTGGTATGAAAAGGCCTTTCGGTTTAATTCAATGTGAAGATTTGTCCCTTTTTTGTTTTCTTATTATATTCTTTGGTTTGTGAATTTATTCCAAATGAAAGATATTGTTTTTTGGAACTTGAAATGTTTCTTAATTTCATACTTTTATACTGTTTTTTATTTTTATTTTCTTGAAAGATGCTTTATTTGATGCCAAGCAAATGAGTTGTTTTGAAGCTCAAAATATAGTTAACTAGATGTGAGAACTTGCTATGTTTGCTATTTAGCCTTGAGAAATGCATGTATATTTGGCGGTCTATTGTTTGTGACATCAAAACATACTCGTTTCACCTCAGCTTGTTTTTTTGGATTTGGGTCCATAAACCATTGGTTTGTGTTGTGGCAAGTTTGCTAGTTTATTGCAAAGTGAGTATTCGATTTTGTAAGGTGCTTTTGTAATTAATGTCCCCTCTTAATTCATGAGAATTCTATGGAAAAGTAATGATGGGTTCATATAATTTCTCTCATCTTTGTTATTGCTACTATAAACTTGTTGCTATTTAAAGGGGCGGTGGAGAGAAAAGCCGTGTTTTGGTTGGTCAGTGGTGATTTAGGTGGAATGTATCTACCCTCCTTTTTCAATATTTTTTTTGATAGTTAAGTTTTTATTTTGTTCTAAAGATCATAATGATTTGAACATTTTAGACATTGATTGTGATTCACTTTGATGTCTATTACTTTGTTATGTGGAAATATATTTTTGGTTGAACACTAAGTTGTTGAAAAGGAAGTTGGCATCAAAGTTGATGGTTGAAATGATTTTTCTGTTTTTTGTATTTTGTTGGAGAAGTTTGAAGTGGTGAGATTTGCATGAAAAGACCTTTGGGTTTAATGCAAGTGAAGATTTGTCCCTTTTTTTTTCTTATTATATGCTTGGTTTGTGAAATTATTCCAAATGAAAGAAATTGTTTTTTGGAACATGATGTTTCTAATTCATTTTATACCTTTTTTTATTTTTATTTTCTTCAAAGAGACTTATTTGATGCCAAGGAAATGAGTTGTTTGGAGTCTCAAATGGTTCAACTAGATGTAGAACTTGTTATTTTGCCTTGAGAAATGCTCGTAAAAAACGAGGTGTGGCATCAATTGAATCATGTATTTGCTGGTCTATTACTTGTGGCATCAAAATATACTCATTTAACCTACTTGTTTTTGGGATTTGGGTCCTAAACCATTGGTTTGTGTCTTGGCGAGTTTGCTAGTTTATTGCAAAGGTGAGTATTCGATTCTATATGGTGCTTTTGTAATTAATGTCCCCCTTAGTTCATGAGAATTTTACGGAAAGTAGAATGGGTTCATATAATTTACTCTCGGCTTTCTTTTTACAAACGTTGATGCTTTTAAGCCCTGTTTTGTTGGTCAGTAGTGATTATGAGTGGAATGTACTACCCTCGCGTTTTTTCAATATTTTTCTTGGGATGGTTAAGTTTTTGATTTGTTCTAAAGATCACAACTTTTGAACTATTTTAGACATTGATTGTGATTCACTCTGATGCTTATTACTTTCTTACGTGGAAATATATTTTTGGTTGAAGCTAAGCTGTGAGTGAAAAGTAAAGTTGGCACAAGTTGATGAATGATATGATTGTTTTTCTGTTTTTTGAATTTTTCCGGAGAAGTATTTGAAATGGTGAAGATTGGTATGAAAGGACCTTTCGTTTAATTCATGTGAAGATTTGTCTCTTTTTGTTTTTTTTTCTTATTATTTCTTTGATTTGTGAATTTATTCCCAATGAGATATTGTTTTTTTGGAACTTGAAATGTTTCTTAATTTCATACTTTATCTGTTTTTTATTTTATTTCTTGAAGATGCTTTATTTGATTTTGATGCCAGTCAAATGAGTTGTTTTGAAGCTCAAAATATAGTTAACTAGATGTGAGAACTTGCTATGTTTGCTTTTTAGCCTTGAGGAATGCAAGGAAAAAAAAAAGAGCTATGGCATCAATATGAATCATGTATATTTGGCGGTCTATTGTTTGTGACATCAAAACATACTCATTTCACCTTAGCTTGTATTTTTGGATTTGGGTCCATAAACCATTGGTTTGTGTCTTGGCAAGTTTGCTAGTTTATTGCAAAGTGAGTATTCGATTCTATAAGGTGCTTTTGTAATTAATTTCATCTCTTAATTCATGAGAATTCTATGGAAAAGTAGAGATGGATTCATATAATTCACTCTCGGCTTGCTTATCTATAAACGTTGATGCTTTTAAGCCCCGTTTTGTTGGTTAGTGGTGATTTATGAGTGGAATGTATCTACCCTCAGCTTTTTCAATATTTTTTTGGGATAGTTAAGTTTTTTATTTGTTCTAAAGATTATAACGATTTGAACCATTTTAGACATTGATTGTGATTCACTTTGATGTCTATTACTTTGTTACGTGGAAATATATTTTTGGTTGAACGCTAAGTTGTGGGTGAAAAGGAAAGTTGGCATCAAAGTTGATGGTTGAAATGATTTTTCTGTTTTTTGTATTTTGTTGGAGAAGTATTTGAACTGGTGAAGATTTGCATGAAAAGACCTTTGGGTTTAATGCAATGTGAAGATTTGTCCCTTTTTTTTTTTCTTATTATATGCTTTGGTTTGTGAAATTATTCCAAATGAAAGAAATTGTTTTTTGGAACATGAAATGTTTCTAAATTTC